TCTGAAATAATTGGTCCGGCTGAAATAAACGGTCCGCTTCTAGTATCTAAGAGATTAGGGGTCAATGTCAAGAACAACGACGTTGGTTGTACGAGACAAGTTTACCTCGGCCATGATATAGTAGAAAAACAGTTTCATAAGATATTATAGGGCAACATTGCGATTTTCAGGAGGGCGGACCGTTTATTTCAGGCGTTCTGAAATAATTGGTCCGGCTGAAATAATCGGTCCGCCCCTAATATCTAAGAGATTTAGGCTCAGTGTCAAGAACAACGACGTTGATTGTACGAGACAAGTTTACCTCGGCCATGATATAGTAGAAAAAACAGTTTCATAAGATATTATAGGGCAACATTGCGATTTTCAGGAGGGCGGACCGTTTATTTCAGGCGTTCTGAAATAATTGGTCCGGCTGAAATATACGGTCCGCCCCTAATATCCAAGAGATTTAGGCTCAGTGTCAAGAACAACGACGTTGATTGTACGAGACAAGTTTACCTCGGCCATGATATAGTAGAAAAAACAGTTTCATAAGATATTATAGGGCAACATTGCGATTTTCAGGAGGGCGGACCGTTTATTTCAGGCGTTCTGAAATAATTGGTCCGGCTGAAATAATCGGTCCGCCCCTAATATCTAAGAGATTTAGGCTCAGTGTCAAGAACAACGACGTTGATTGTACGAGACAAGTTTACCTCGACCATGATATAGTAGAAAAAACAGCCTTCATAAGATATTATAGGGCAACATTGCGATTTTCAGGAGGGCGGACCGTTTATTTCAGGCGGTCTGAAATAATTGGTCCGGCTGAAATAATCGGTCCGCCTCTAATATCTAAGAGATTTGGGCTCAGTGTCAAGAACAACGACGTTGGTTGTACGGGACAAGTTTACCTCGACCATGATATAGTAGAAAAAACAGCCTTCATAAGATATTATAGGGCAACATTGCGATTTTCAGGAGGGCGGACCGTTTATTTCAGGCGGTCTGAAATAATTGGTCCGACTGAAATAATCGGTCCGCCTCTAATATCTAAGAGATTTGGGCTCAGTGTCAAGAACAACGACGTTGGTTGTACGGGACAAGTTTACCTCGACCATGATATAGTAGAAAAAACAGTTTCATAAGATATTATAGGGCAACATTGCGATTTTCAGGAGGGCGGACCGTTTATTTCAGGCGTTCTGAAGAAGTTTTATAAGATAGGACAACAGAAGGGCGGACCAATTATGTCAGGCTTAATCATTTGGTCCACCCCTTCTTGTTGTGATTTGGAAAAAGTGGGAACAGTCTGCCACATCTAGAATTGGTTTAGAACTGTTTTAATTTAGCGGACCAAAGACCTCGAGGGTCATTGCAGAGACTTACTGTTTTGTAAGCTTAGAAATCAGAGGGGGTTAACATTCTAGTTGTAAAGGAATAGTCTCTTTCATGCTTAAGCTACGGTTTTTATAAGTTAACAAACAAGTTATGATGTGCGATATTGTACAATCTTACGTTAATGCTTACTTTACAGAACCCTGTTTATCGTTACATGTACTGAACTGCGATCGCCTTCATTGGGATATGTGCGTGTGGGCCTTCGTACATTTTAGGCCACGCCCCGGACCGATTATTTCAGCCGGACCATATATTTCAGAACACCGGCAAAACTGGATTTCTTCTAGTCAGTTGAATCAATCCCAGAGTGTGACAATGAAATCCGCTGAAATCTGTGAGGCAAAAACGCGTCGTCGCTGACGGGAAACAGTTCCTTGTTTTGCATCGTAGGCTGGTTCGAGATATTTATTGATGGTAACGTTGCCTAAAACAATAAAGAGACGAGCTTGCTTTGGGGCTACACGTACATGTATTTCAAACGCTTCAAGTACAAAATGATGACGAAAATGTGCTAAGCTGAAAGAAATGGAAGTAAATTTCAATATCAGCCAGATTTCCTCATCCAATCTTTTATTTGTTTTACTGCCATAAAATTGCATTTGATGCATTTAAACCTCATTGTTTGCACCAAGTGCACTCCCTAACACTCCCCAAATCAACAGAAACATTCCTAGCCCAATAACGTTGAAGAGACCGGATGTAAAACGCCCACCACATTTCGATCTAGTAGGTTTTCCGGTTGTAAGTGGATTTCTTGGTTCGCCCACTGCCATCATTGATGGAATTCTTGGCTCAAAATCAAAATACGCCTTTTTACATTCTAAAGTCATGAATTTTACAAATAAAAATTTCCATGTAACGCTATTAACGTGAGGGCAACCATCTCAAATGGTTGAGAAGACAGTAACTCAAACAATGAAAGAAAAGAAAAGAAAAGAAACGGGAAAATTCTCCATTTTCTTTGGCTTCCACGCTCACTCTATATCAAAAGTATTAACGTTGTACCGAGAAGTCTTTTGTACGTGCATACTGGCACGAGTTTCCTGCTCAACTTTGCCCCTCCGGCACAATGTTTGTCTTTATCTGGGCACATTTTTAGTAATTACTTCACCCCCGTGCGTGCGACGCGCCCCGCCCACCCCATCGGTCAAGCACGGGGAACAGGTGCCTGCAGTTTAGAATCGAACCGCTAGGCGGCAAATCCACCTGTTCCGCATTCCTCGCATTCAAGATGGCCGCCTGGTGCTAACATTTTTCGACGATGCTCAGAGTTTCTTGCTCTGCAAACTCTTTTTCTTGCCTTCCTCGCTACACCCTTAGTTTTCTGAAATGAGCTGACGAACGGACAATGCCGAGACCCATCAGAAGTAGAAGGTCAGTGTTGCTTTTTAAAAGTATGGCTGTCTATAAACTAAAGGTAGTGATACATTAACGCCCTCCCCCTTTAAATGTGAGAAGTGCATGAGAAGTGAGGAGAGAAAAGGGGGACGTTACGGAATGATTGACGACAACTAATAGTCTATTGTAGTAGGGAATGCTGAACATGCTCTTAATGCACACAAGAAGAAAATGTTAAGGCGTTCTCTTTAAAAAGGCCTAACTTCTCTGCTCTACTCTACAATACAAAAATATAGATTCACTTCACTTTATTTCGTTGGATCATGATAACTGTAAACAAAATGACGAGATCTTGGCAAGTAGAAAGCAGAAGGGGAAGTTTGTCATTGAAACCAGAGTCGTACAACTAGAACTTGCCTGCCAGCCCATGCAGTGCACTTGAATAACCAGTATCCAGCCTTGATTATCATCCATTTTGTGTCTGTCTAGTGTCCGTGGGGCGACCCCAGACAACGTGGCAGTGGCTGCCAAGATAACTGACCTGGAGAAGAGAAGAGGCATCACCAACTACTATGTAAGAAGGAAAAAACAAGTTTTTGAACACCTCAATCCCTGATTGGTAACTCTGGTACTTGGACGCTATTTCTTGTTTAATTGAGGAATTTCTTGTTTCCCCAGGTTTACGTGACGGAGGTGACCCTGAACAATGGCAGTTCCTACCAGATCTTCCGTCGGTACAGCCAGTTTGATTCACTACAGGTGTATCTGCTGGCCAGGTTCCCGATTGAAGCCGGGGACATCGATGAAAAGGACCGCGTCCTCCCTTCACTACCTGGTACATGTACTATGAATGGCTGGTGTTACCTTGTTTTGTTTACTTACACACTAGAAAAACATGTTTTTGCTCTATAGTAGAGGTTAAGCTTTGTTCCAACACTAGAAAGGAACTCCAATAAATGTGTTGGAGTCAAACCTGGCCAAGAAGACCACTCAGGTGACCGATATAAGATCTAATTTATAGTAGAACACTCACTTGGATATAAAATATAAAACTATGTACATGTCAGGTGTCTACAAATGAACTGATTGCCATATTCACTCCTCCAGGAAAGATCTACTTTGGCAGAAGTGCCATCCGTGAGGTGGCAGAGAGACGTCTGCCTGAGCTGAACAAGTACATGACGGTATGGAGACTACGTAACAGTTTATGCAGAAAAATAACATATCAACATCATGTTCCTGAGCATTCAGATGCCTCTCAAGAGGGAGGGGGGGAAATTTCTGGTACATTTGAATTTGATCCACATAACAACAGGCTGTTTTCTTTAATCTTAGGATTTTATTGTTGAAAAGAGCTAGGGGAATTTCCCCAGTACAGGGTACTTGTAAATACTGTACATAGCATCTGTCTTTTCTGTCACAACCAGTGGAAGAATATTGTTGACTCTCATTTAAGTGAGGTAAAACTGGATCAAGATTACATGCTTTCATTTATTTCCTTCACTCCCCCAAAAGGAGCTGTTGTCCCTGGACCCTAAGATTTCCCGCGATCCGGACGTTCGTCTGTTCTTCAGTCAGACGGAGAGCGACGTTCTCGCCCTGGAGAACCGTGAGAAGCAGGGCATCGTGGGTAGCGCTCATCAGACGAGTCTGAAACCTTCTCTCAACTCCAATGGTGCAAACAAAACTTCTCCAAGGTATATGTTACAATAGCATAAGGTTAAAGGTATGTAAGTATGAACATTATGAGCTGACTATTACCTAAGCCCTCCCTGGCTAGTTCCTAGATCCTCAGCATTTCGAGAGCATAATTGTTTGTTTTTTTCAGATCCAAAGTGAAACCATTCCGTCCCAGACCACCTGTTCCTAGACGGCCATCCAAACCCCCGTCTATTGTCAAAGGTCCCAGGGCTAAGGTGAGCTCATTTCTTCAACCTTCATAACCACATAGATTTCATAATGAATACAACTATGTTTTGCCAAACTTTTTGTTTATTTTCACATCTGTTTAGGGGTTCCCACAGAATGTCATCCATATGATCATATTAACATGGCCTATGTAATAATAATCATATATTTCATGCAATTAAAAGAGATACACGGACGTGCACCAAAACATGTATTGAAAACGTTGTACTGTGCCCTGACCTTTAGGTTCTGTATCCGTTTGAGGCCAGAACTGAAGATGAGCTGTCGCTGACTGCCGGTACTACAGTCAGTCTCCTGCACAGGGTCAACCAGGACTGGATAGAGGTACGGCTCCTGGAGTTCCTATCTACACTCCGAGTCCTACTATAGTTCTGAACTTAGAAGAACTCTGCAAACTTGGAAAATCTAATTTAAATAACTTCAAACTTTGGAATCTCCTCCAACTTTGGGCAGAATTTAAAGTGATATTTTAATCCAAAAATCAAACCTTAGTTTTGATGTGTGGGTCCCTGCAGGGCAGATACAACATGAAGACTGGACTGTTCCCTGCTGTGTATGTGGACATCATCGAGGATCTGGATGAAGACCAGGAGGAGGGAGAGGTGAGAACAAAGAGATGTTATCTTATAGAATTAGTGGCCTCTTGTATTCTCACGTTTTAAAAGGCAAAGATAGTCCATAGCCTTTTTGAGACACTAGGGGCAGGAGGTTGTTTATCCAATCTGTCTAGGGCATGGAGTTGGACAGACAGAGCCCATCACTGCCTTTTATCTCCCCAACTGAAGTTATTTTACACCTGGGTGGAGTGGAGAAAGTTGTGGTCATGGAAAGTGTGCTTCCCGAGGACACAATGTCTACCCAGGAATTTTGGAATTGAAGTGAACCCGTGAATCTCACCTTAGCCATTCGTCCATTTAATGCTCAACACTCTTTGTAGGGTTTAATTGCCAAAGTTTATAACTGGAAAATTATAGGCCTTATACATTACATTGTGTGTATTTTGTGTCAACAGGTAGATTTTTTTTCTTACAAAAAATAATGTTCTTTTTTACAATGTGGTGTTATTCTCCAGGATGAGTGGGATGATCCAGAGCCGGTCGCTGTGATTCGCTGTCACTACTCGGGTGGAGTCAGGTCTGAGCCCTCTCTAAATGAAATTGTACCTGGAATTTCTGTACTCTCGTTATAAGGATTGCCACATTTCCGAGCTAAGCCTGGCTGGGTTGTTTGCATTCTAAACTAGAGTTCCCCGATCTCATACCTTCGCCAAATGATGTTAATCTTTATGACTGACAAATTATAGATTAGATTATTCCCCCTGATTTAAGAAATAGGAACCTAACTTTCATGAATTATATCATTTTATAATAATCTCAACCAAAAAACAGTTTTATATTAACAAACAATGCATTCTAGCATTTCCTAATAAATTATGCAAATGAGGTCCTGATTTGAATAAATTATGTTTAATGATGTTCACCTCAATTTAACTTTCAAATACCACAAGTATGAAATTCCAGGCATTTATCATTACATTATTATAAAATTTTCTCATTAATTATGCAAATTAAGTCATTATTAACATAATCAATATCTTCCTGTGTTTCTTTCGTTGTCAATTACCAATGTCACAAGCTTTAATTTGTCCTATTATTGAATGCAGCTGATTTATAGAATTTCTCCATAAATTATGCAAATTGCATCAATATTTGCATAATTGTCACATTATTATATTAAGCATCACGTAAGCTACCTACATACCAAAAATCACGACGATCCGTCAACCTGTTCTTGAGTTATCCCCTTTAGAATATTTTCAAGAATTTATCCCTGCAGTTCCAGAGCAAGCCGCTAGGGGGCCTAAACTCACGTCACTTCTTCCCCAGCACAAGAGCTACCTACCATCTAAATTTCATCACCATAGCATGTCTAGATCATGAGATATCAAAACCGGAAGTTCAGCTGCAGTACCATAACAAGCCGCTAGGGGGTCCAAAATCTAAATCAACTTTGAGGTCTCATCAAGATCTACCCACCTACCAAGTATCAAGACAATCCATCAAGGCCTTCTTAAGTTATCGTGTTGACAGACAGACACACACACACACACATACACGAACGCCCCTGAAAACATAACCTTCTTGGCGAAGGTAACAACTCATATCAACACTATACACATAATAGTGCTCAAGATTTTTTTTCAACATTTGTTGTGTTTCTGTAGGGACATTGAAGTACACCCAACCTTTGTTGAGAAGCCAGCATACAACGAACTGCTAACTTTAGTCAGGTGAGCTTTGTTGTCTCTTCAATTATCATTTATACAGTAATTGCATAATTAAACAATCAAAGCTTAACAAAGGGCATATCAATGAATATTGCTCATGGTGTATTATAATCTTACAATACACAATACAGGAAATATTTTGGTACAGAAGAAGATCCTATATTTGAAATTGAATAGTTTTATTTATATTTTGTTTCCTTTCTACTTTCCCAGACAATCCCTGAATCGTCAGGATCTGGTGATGAACTACCTGGATCGCGAGGGGGATCTGATCCGGATCAAGGATCAGGACGATGTGGATCTGATGATCGACCAGTCACAGAAGAAGACGTTACCCCGTCAGCTAAGCCGTCAGCTGAGCAGCAGTCTGTACGTCCCGTGGGAGGTCCACGCGACCTTGGAGAAGGACTACTCTGTCTATCACGTCAAGGTCATGTCTCCCAGAAGGTCATGACTTTTACACAACCCAATATGGAGGATTCATCTACTCCATAGATATCATCCCTGTCAGTACAAACTCTTGGCCTTTGGTATTCTGCAGGCCACATGCATGTATTTTTATGTTCACAGAACAAAAACATAATAATTATGTTTTATATCACTAAACCAAAGTCCAGTATCATTTGATTTTTGTTATACTTTTAAGATTATAGCAAATGTTGGAACAGTTTCATTGTGGTGGTCCAAAAGAGCAATGACAATCATGCCTTTTATGTCAAAACAAGATTATGGTTTCAGTCAAAAATAGCAAATTCCAGTATTATCATTAGATATATTTGTTAGGTAGAAAAACATATAATATTTTATTGGTCAATAATAGCAAATTGATGCCAGTATGTTTTTTTGTGAATTAGATAGGCCTGAACAGAATCTACAGCCAACCAGTCCAGTATGGCACATGCCAGATTGATGTAGAAAGCTGACTACCAACTGGCCACTAAAATTACTTCATAGAGCAGTATTAATATAAATTTTAATATGGATTTTCATATGGATATCAACATATCATTTTTGACAACCATTATCTAACACAAAACAAAATTAACAGTAGGGTATAACTGTCCAATAGTAATATATCATCATCAGAAATTATATATCATTAAGTAATATCACAGTAATGTAAAACAATGCAACAAGGTATTTTTTTTCATCTGGAGCTGTGTTAAAGCCATACAGGTGGTCAGTATATATCAAGGACATGTGTTGCAATTTTTGCACACATCTAGTATTTAGCTTACTAATAATGCATATGGTAGCTAATCTATGATATGATATTCAAGATGTGATAATTCTATTTATTAGACACCAGTGAAATGTGTTGTGTTTCATTAATATACATATCTAAGTTCTGAAAATGCATATCACTTGATATTGTCAAACATATTGTTGGGATTTTCCCCTCATCATCAAATAAAGTGTGCTATGTACATGTTTGTACTAGGTATTTTCAGCTAGTTACAACAATGTGTGTAAGTTAACAGTTGCAAAATCTGTATGATGTGTCAACATGTTTGTCTGATGAAGCTCTGACTTCATCATAACTTCTCATTTTGTGTGTTTACCAAATTTGACATGTATTAATTATTATGGTTGCATGATGTGGAAAGCTAATGATATTCGTGTTAGTTAAGGCCAGTATTTTCTTTGCTACAACCAAAGGACCAAGACTTGTGTAGAATAATGTAGGATTGTGAGGTGCCCTTCTAATAAAGAAATAATATTATGTAACTGGTGTGATCGTGTTTTTATGCTTACATCAATCATCACAGTAAAGAATCTTTCAAGTTCCTTAGCCAAGGACCCTGAAGACGTCTTTTATCTCTATGATGATAACATCCGGCATATTTGAAATTAATTCTCTTGTACGTGTACATAATAATATGAAAATAATGAATGAATAAGATGTAACTTATACACAACTATGTCGAATTTCTCAAAGGTTGCGTTGTAAAATGTTTTTCTTGAGTTTTTAACATGTCTTTTTTGTTCAGCTCTCCAAACCAAATCGAGAATAGACTAAATAAAATTACATTGTACTTTAAGCTCGTTTTTCCGCGTAACTGTTTTAAACCCTGCTAATATTTTGATTATTATATTAATGTCGCAAGATACATTACTACATGTCACTTAGTTTTCCGTGTTTTTGTCAGTATTGTGTAAGAAAACTTGCTCTCTCTACAGTGACTTTTTGTTCAGCTACAGTATCATAATTTTAAGCGCGTTTGCCCCTTTGAGTGTCCGTTTTAAACCCCACTAATGTGCCAAACATGTTTCTCCCATTGCCAGCCGAGCAGAGAACAAACACCACAGGAAACAATGGCTGTCATGTCAACGGTTTGCACAGCGTGGTCGGGTCACCTGTCGACTTCTGACCGGGAACTAAGGCCACTTGCGCCCGCTCGGTGCCCCTTGTTCTTACCGCGTACTTCCGATACTTTCCTTTCCTTACAGTACACCTTTCGCGGACACTTCCGTCTTGAAAGACCTTTCTCATTATCTGTAAGGAATTTTGACGTCGACGACTGCCGTGTCCACGAATTGTGTTTACAAATGACGCGAAGACGAGCTGAAGGTTTTAGGTTCCGTACTTGGATTCAGAAACGCGTGCGTACTTCGGGAGGGAAGGATAAGAAGTGCGTCAGGAATTCATTGGTTTGATACATCTGATTGTGTTTGGGGGGCACAGAGAAGTGATGTCAGAACAAGTCAAGCGGAAAAAAAACAAGGTAAGTGGATGTCGTCAGGGGTAAGAGACCTCAGTCACATTGCATTAAGGTGTAGCGAAGCTCGTACTACTAACACCGACGCAAACACGGCTAAGACTCCAGCAACTTGACTAGATTGACACAGCTGCCGGTCGATACTTTCCAGCGCGCGAAGAAGTGCTCCCGTTGCCATATCAACGCTCGGTTGCCAGGGTTGTGGGGGGATAAATACACAGATTGTTACCGAGCGAGCACGTAATACAGCAATAGTCGTACGGAGATGGGCTGTAGGGGTGCTTGTGCGGGTTTGTGTTGTCTACGCGCCATGGTAAGTGCCCAGTAGCTGTCGTTTTTGTTATGTCTCTAACGCGAGGCACGTCCTGGTATAGTCACTAAATCATCAGCGAATTTACAATCAAACACGCAGTTAGTACAACAACATTGTTAACTTCAAAAGATGTTTGGCCACTCTTTCAGCACTCGGACAAAGAAAAACATACAAGCTGTTTGTGTGGTGCGTGTTTTCGTACGAAATAATGGGATGTTTAGGATTATCGTATTTTACGAAATGTAGCAACAAATTTTGTTTCAAGACGTTGTTTTTGAATAATGAGAAAATGGTCCAAGCGTCGGATAATGTGTTACATGTTTCAGACGTGGTTATGTGTATACAATACTCACCAAGTTTTGTTAGAATCAAGGCAACTGTAACTTAACGACTGTCAGACATTGGCAATGAGTAATGTAGTGTTTGCCAGTTTTTGACACATTCATTTATTGCTTATTTGTTCCGAAGATTTGAAAGATAGATATCAAGAAAATAGGTGTAATACACAGGACAAAACAAAAACCTCGCTTCTGAAACGTGTACTCTGTCGGTATCTCGTCGCCAAGTTTTAAGTTTTGTCTAATCTGTAAAAGTTGTTTAATAACCTTAATTCTACATTAGGGAAGTTAAGTGAATTGACTGTGTATCAACGTGTTCAAACATGGCGACCGCTCCATAGCAACGAACGCCAGCAGGCGTTGCCATGGAGCCGGTGTCGCGCCCTCATCAAAAATCACTTCATCAAACAACTTTCTCCTGTGACAACCGAGGCATGAGTCACTGCCACGATTCTTTTGTCTTTAAGAAAACTAAAAGAAAACTTCTCCTCAAGGTTATCTAGTTCTTTCTAGATCGATTTTGGGTAAGAAAACAGTCTGACAGCGAAGCGTGTGAGGTTCAGAGTGAGTGAGAGTTAATCACGTCCATGTTGTGTTTGTTTTGTAAAGCCTGAGCCCCGTGTACACACTTATGACCCGAGCAGTTAACGTTGTTTTGAAAGGTGAGCCTCTCACAGGTACATAAAGACATGTACATGGCAGGCGTGATCGATGCAAACGGCTGAAGAGGTTATTACAAAATATAGATAATTATAATGAAAAGTTGCCCGGGGGCTAATGTATGTGACCCATGACGCTGGCCCTGTGACCACGGGGTCTCCGGCAGCTAGCTAAAACGTACAAGTATCTCACTGCACAATCATGAAAGTTCATCTCTGATCTGTCGGTAGTTACATTTTTAAAGTTAAAACTTTTGATCCAACACAAAGACCCAGTATATTGACATCACGCTTCAAAGAAGCCACGGGACATGTCTCACTGGGTCAGTCTACTGAGGAAGACCAGAGAGACTGGTCAAAGCTCTAGTTGAGAGAATTTCTTTGTGTTGGATCAAAAGTTCTACCTTTAGCATATATCACTACACAAATGACATTTGGTATTTTTCATCATAAACAGCCTTTTCTGTAAGCTGAGGCGTTCTTCAAGCCCTTACGGTGAACCCGAATCAGACTGACCCGTCTGTCTGCCGTACATGGGACTCATGACGCTGGCCCTCAGACCACACCGGGGTCCCCGCCGACGGGCCGACAGCATCGACTACAGCGGGAAGGGTCTGTCCGAGCTCCCGAGGCACATCTTCCGCAACACCGAAGTCAAACGACTCCGGCTGCACGACAACAACATCACGGAACTACCCCGAGAGATCAACACATTAGTCTGCCTCGAACGTCTTACCCTAAATAATAACGGTCTTAACGACATTATCGACGAGGTTTTCCTTCTGGAGAACCTGAGATGTTTAGATCTGAGTGACAATAGTCTGACGCAGCTGTCCGCGGCGGTCAGCAACTTGCGGGAGTTGAGAGAACTGCACCTGAACAAGCTGGACCTCACGTACCTCATAGAGGATATCGGCTGGCTGCCGAAGCTGGAAGTCCTGTCTGTAGCTCACAACAAACTCACGGCGATCCCAGGCTCAATCTCACAACTCAGGAAACTGAGGGTACTGATTCTGACTGGAAACCACTTCGACCAGTTCCCGGATGAGGTAGTTTTTGCTGCTATTTCTTAGACAATAAAAAAAGTGCTAAATATGTGGCAACTAATATAAAATAATGTTATACAGAGAAAAATATTTTAAGACTATAGTAAAATCAACACAACAAAGACAGCATGTTAAAGTCTCATGTATATTGCAATAACATTCTTTTCTGTCGATCCCTTACAAGGTGTGTTCCGTGACGTCACTAGAGACGCTGAGCATCTCCAGTCAGGTGGGAGAGTCCAAGATATGTTTTATCCAGGACAGCATCGGCAGGCTCAAGAACATGAAGGTATGTCTCAGCCAGTGCCATTAAGACTTCCCAAACCCTATATTGCCTAAGCTTATACATCCCAGCTTTCTTTACAATGGACATTCCACAACACACATTCAGATGGCTCACTGTAAGCAACAAACATATAAACTTGTCATGTTGCAAGCGTTATTTTTGTATTGGTGTATTACGTGTTAAGGACCACAGGAAGAATAGCTGAGGTATCAAGTTAAACTGTGGAATGTGGAGCTAATAAAGTCAAAGTCAAAGTTTAACTTATAAACCCCTACAGGAGCTGTATCTGGAGAATAACACCATCTCCACCCTGCCGGAGACTATCCGTGAGATGCGGGACCTGCAGATTCTGTCCTGTTTCTCTAACCGGCTGGAGAGGTTACCGGACTCCTTATGCACGCTGAAGAACCTCAGGGTGTTGCTACTACAGGTACGTCGGTAATCTTGTAAAATCTCAGACATACAGTTAATGGATCCCCTGGCCTCCCGAAGGGGTGACGCCCATGACAGGACACTACGTATAATGACAAGCTAACCCAGTACAAATGTAGAATTGTTCGGTTTAGGAATATTGCACAACGTACGTACCCTACTGTGTAAAAACTATTGAACGATGGAGTTTACTGTCGTGCATGAGGCACATGTATGTCCCTGATTCGTTAAACAACACAGATGTAGTTAAAGTCTTATTGTCATTTTTCAATACGGCTGCTTCGTCCTTTTCTTTCCTTTTCTTTCCTTTCCTTTCCTTTCCTTTTCTTTTCTTTTCTTTTCCTTTCTCTTCTCTTTTCTTTCCTTTCCTTTCCTTTCCTTGTCTTTCCTTTTCTTTTCTTTTCTTTCCTTTCCTTTCCTTTACCTGTATGATCATCCTTTCGTGCAACATACAAACAGCAACATACAAGCAGAATCAGCTTTACATTACACCGAACCTGCACATCTATAGATATATATATATAACTGTAAACGTCGGTTCCCCTGAATTCCCAGCACAACAGGCTATCGAAACTTCCCGACAACCTGGACCAGCTGCTGGAGATGAACCTGCAGCAGCTGCGGCTGGACGGGAACCCTCACCCGTGCGGCAGTCAGGGCGCCGGGCTCAGGCAGGTCCGCGAGCAGCACAGGCTGGCCAGGCTAGGTAAGGCCCGGTCACACTGGCCGAACTTTGCTGGAGCGTTCCTTTAACGGTATAGGGACGGGGTCCGAATTTCCACAACGCTCGTCACCGCGCCCAAAATGTGGGGGAATCGTATAGCGGTGACGCAAGCGTTGGTATAGCGCCGTTCTGCGCATGCGGTTTAGCGGCATACCGCTTGTGACTACGGAGTTGAACGGATCGTTTTGTAGTAGTTTAAGTTCTGTTCTGTGTGTGTGGGGACTTAAAGCTTTAATAAACATCATTTTGTTAATCTATTCTTCACTACGTTATTTAATTAATAATGAAAATAAAACTTTGCAGATTGCAAAGTTCCCCTGTGACCCCAATAAAGTGATTGTCCGTGTGACCCTTCTTTGAACATTTTACGTGTGGCCCCAAAATAATTGCACACTAGTGCACCAATCATAGCAAGTCTCTCAGCAGGTCTCTCCAGGGTGATACAGTTTTACTGTAACTTCGAGCAAATTCGATATAGATGAGGCCTGAACTCAACGGCAGCTCGATTCCAAATGAGCACCTGGTCCATTCCTCACCGTACTTATAGCCAACTTCTGGTCCCGCTCCGACACCTCTATACCAACGCCAAACCAAAGTTCATTGCCGACATGGATCGCTGCTTCAACGCCTGACACCGTTCCAGCAACCCCCGTAAAACGCTTGCAACCGCTCCAGCGAAGTTTGTGCAACGTTTGTGCAACGTTTAATCTCCGCCCGGGCAACGCTGGCGAAGCAGCGGTGGTCAAGCGTTCAAGATTTCTGCGTTGGCCTAGCGGACCCAAGCGTCCACGAACTTGCGTCTAGCGATGCCAAACTTTGACTGGGCGTTGGTGGAGCGGGGGTGAACTTTGCCGGGGCGGAAAATTTCCCCCTCCTCACCGCTCGCAATATTTTGTGCAGCTCAAAACTTTCGGAGCGGTAGGAGGGCCCCTCCAGAAACGTCAGCGGTGGCCGGGCGTACACGGCGTTGCTTTAACGGGGGCCAACTTCTGTTTAGCGGTGGTGAGCGGTTTCGAGCGGTGATGAATTTTATTCACCGTTCAAGCAACGCTCCAGCAAAGTTCCGCCAGTGTGACCGGGCCTGTAGGTGTTGTGTATATCCAGAACCGTGCTTTTTCCACAACCGCATCATGCATTTTATTGGCATTTTATCGTCATTTTTCAAAGGCAGGTTTCTTAAACCCTTGTGTGTTTCAATATGGTCTATGGAATTACAAATGTTAAGTTGACTTCGTTTCTCTCTACTTATTGCAGCCAGAATAAGCTCGTGCAACGCCAGTATGATGGACTACAAGTACATATTCAGGTAAAGGTTTGATGTCTCTTGAAACTATTGACAATTCTACTGGTTTACTTAATTACTTTTGCACTGTTTTATAATGCCATCATGATGGCCAGTTCTTCTTCATTCTATCTTTAAAGGCAGCCAACGCAATTTCAGAGCAGTAAATTCACTAGGTGTTACTAGGCAAAGCCTGAAATCGACTTGAGAGCCTTTAATGGCATGTTTGAAATCAAAGATCGAACTTTTCCTCAGATATCGTCTGAAGAAGTGGCTGCAGCAGGTCATCAACTTTCCCGCCAAGTGCAGCGTCCGGGTTCCCAGCAAGGCCACGCCTATCGAAACCTCCCTGACGTTCAAACTGGTGAACCCTGACAAAAGTTCGCTCACACTTTGCAAGGACAGTCGGGAGATTCTGGTGGGTGATTGGGAGATCGTTGTTCTCTTTTCTCGAAATCGACCTTGTTTTTCCTGATGTCGACATCAGAGGATTATTATCAGCCATCACTTTTTTTCGTTTCCGTTGTTCTTAAAAGTGACGTTGTTGAAAAATTAAAGTTTTATAACACATATATTACATTAAGCCAAGGAGATTCAGATCAGACCAAGAAAAATTAAGGTATAAAATCTTTAAAACCTTCTTGATCAGTCTGAACCTCCTTGGTTAAAGTTAGCTGTTGCCAGTCGTTCTCAGTGGTTTATACCAATAGCCATTATGACTCTGTCAGTTGAAGGCTCCTTGTGCTCAATATTTAAAGATTAACGTGTTCCGACCAAGGACGAGAACGTCCTTGTTCCGACGTCCTCCCTAGACTTGGCAATTAAGTTAGTCAATGTACACTCATGTATAACCTCTTACGTGTATTGTGCCTGTTTTGTCCCCCTGCAGGTCAGCTATATCGTGGAGCTAGGTCCCCGGAATTACCCGCTGCGCAAGCCGGTGACGCTGGCCATGACGCACTGGGCGGACGCGGCGGACAGGACCCGGGAGATCGTGGTGAAAATCAACCCGTCACGGGCCGCCAACGTGCGGGCACCGTGGGTGGAGGTACCCACCAAGGTGGGTTAGTCAGTACATGTGGGTGGGTGGATGGATGTGTGTGTGTGTGTGTGTGTGTCTAAGCGGGTGGGCTAGTTGTGTTGACCTGGGAGATCGTGGTGAAGATGAACACTTCACGGGCCGCCAACGTGCGGGCGCCGTGGGTGGAGGTACCCACCAAGGTGGGTTAGTTTGACAGTACGTGTGGGTGGGTGTGTCTAAGCGGGTTGGTTGGTTGTGTTGACCTGGGACTAGATCATGGTGAAGATGAACCCTTCACGAACCGTGGGTGGAGGTACCCACGAAAGTGAGGTAGAAAAGCGTCAGATGTTTGTGTGTTCTTGACTTTGCTCAATGCGTAGCTCACGTCAACCGTATTGAATACACTAGAGGTTTTGATAACAGTATTTGGGTTCTTTCCGTACAGTTGTAATGTCAGCTGCCATACAGGTTTACAACTGCCCTCCCGTTTCTGCCCAGGTTGCCGGCAGCCTGGTGAAGGCCCGTGTGCGCCAGTTCTCCCAGTTCGCCGTCATCTCCCGCCTGAAGACCGACAAGTTCCGTGTGTCCAGCAGCGCGGGCGGAGACCTGCACTCCACCGCCCTGCACGGCGTCAGCGTCAAGGTGCCCAGGCGCGGCGTGGTCGGCGACGCGGACGTACATCTCAGGGTAAGGACTTGAAACCTTCTCTCACTCACAGGCTTCGAAATATACACACTCTCGCTGCGCAAGTCATCTTTGCGTGACATATTAGTGTGGTCATGCGGCGTAACGGCAGAGTGCTCGGCTCGGAACCAAGAGGTCCCGAGTTCGCATTTTGCCATGCCACCGATCTTGTGTCCTTGGGAAAGGCAGTTTATTGTCGATTGTGCCGGCCGTCCCCATGCGCAAGTTATATTTTGCATACAAAGCGACTTTTGTCTAAGCAGCGGTTTAAAATATTTATTCATTGAGTAGAACTACTATATTGTATCCAGAGCCGTGCCTGTCAAGTTCTGTGTCTGAATGTACACATGTATTAGTATTAGGATAAGGTACGGATAATCTCCGCGTATCCAAGAACATAGATTGGCCCAAGGCAAAGCGCGGGTCTGGATACAACGTACCACTTGTTGTTCCATCCAGGTAAAACCTATTGTCCTCGGAGAGTACCCACAGCAGGTGTACGGGGCGTCGCCGTTTGTGGAGGTGTGGCGCCCCGCGGCCGACAAGCGCTCCTTCCGCCTCAAGGTAGCCATCTCCTTACCCATCACACGGAAAGGTACGTAAGATTATTTTTACCTTTTCACATAAGGAAACATGTTGTTCTGTGCATGACCCGCCCGTAACTGTCAACAAAAATGTCGACTCAACAATATAAAATAATCTTAAGAAACGAAGAAATCTCATTGACTCAAAAGCCCATGTCCTTGGATGACCTTCAGGTGACTTCACCCCGTCTGACGCTGACCTTCACCTCCTGCTGCACGCTGATGGTCAGTGGACGGACGTGACGTCAGAAGTCAGCCACAAGAAGACTGAGGACGGGAAACTGCTGTTGGAGACCAAGTACTGCGGAGGGTGAGTTCCTTAGCCAAAGTTATGGCATTAAGTATCGGAAATTTTTCAAAGCTCTTTTTACTTTGATTCTCTCTCTCTCTCTCTTTCTCTTGCCCCCTCTCTTGTATATGATGTAGTGTTGACCATGTCACCCGTTGTACCAGGTACATGGCCCTGGAGACCGCAGACGACATTGAGCTGAATGACCTGTATGACCTAGCGGACGGTGTGTGGGAGGGGTCACAGGCCAGCCTCATCCTCAAACAGAACCGGCGGGACCGCAGCCACGTGATGGTCACGTGCGTGCCACGTGAAATGGCCGCCGCAATCAGCAGGTACGCAGACAGAAATCAAAGAATGAAATTTTATTACTCAGCTTGAAATTTTTGCAACTGTATATCAACTTCAGATACACAAAAAATAAGGAAGGTTTCCATTTCTACTCATTGTAGACAGCAATAACGTCAGTTGCTGGTATTTCAGCACCAAGGACAGTGCACACTCATATCTTCTATCTTTAGTTTTGTGAAGTTCTAATTAATATATACTCAGGTAATAGTGCCGTACACATCGATATCCGCCCATATAACACTGACTCTTGTATGAACCAGTATTGCTGAGTCAGTAACCGTTCAACCATTCCCTTTCTGTTTTTATCCAGAGTTCTGGACAATAACGGTTGGACAGGTTCGGAGCCGACCGAGCCGGTGTTCCTACAGGACCGGCAGCCGGTCCAGGTGACTCTGGACGGGAACATCCGGCCCCGCAGCAGCTGGCAGGGCGACAGGGTCAGCATCATATATAACTGCAGGTAACGGGACAGGGTCAGCATCATATATAACTGCAGGTAACGGGACAGGGTCAGCATCATATATAACTACAGGTAACGGGACAGGGTCAGCATCATATATAACTGCAGGTAACGGGACAGGGTCAGCATCATATATAACTGCAGGTAACGGGACAGGATCCCTCGGTCTCAGCCCTTCCCTGGGTTGGAACTCCAACCGGCCTTCGGGCGATCCGACCCTCCAGTGTTACTGAATGCAGCATGTTGTATTCTATATCTATTAAGATCTAGAAATGTTCCAATAGTTTTAGCCAATGTAAGATTTAGACTAATGCCTCCTGGACCTCCTTCCTCTCCAGACATAAGTGCCACCGTGAGTTCTCCGTCCGGCCCCTGGAGACAGAAGAGGGATACCCCGTAGCCGTTGCCATGGATACGGAGTACTACGTAGGGACTGCGGAGTTCAGCACCCCTCTGCACTGGAAACTTGGGGAGGGGGGCGACATCAGTAAAGGCATCCGGGCCCTGAGCAGCCTGCCGATCAACCTACCGGTCGCGCAGAAGTAGACTAGGGACTTAAACCTCTGTCACACGTTACCAAATATGGCATCATGCATAGAAATTTATCGTCAGAAAAAAAATCATTTCGTACTCGATGATCTTTGTCTTTTATTCTTCAAGTAGGAATGACAAATAAAAGCATCTATTGAAGAAACAACAATCATAAACCTATTTTAGTGTCATATCAATGAAATAACAAGGAACACAGAATAGTTGCTTTCATATATATGTATCTCTACAAGTGTAGCAACTATTTGAAGGAATCGTATTGTATTGAAATGTTGAAGGACAGAAATTGAAGCATTTTTTGCTTGAGTCAAGCAGTATTTACTGTAAATCTCATTGTACATGTTCAGTCATAAACCTTGGTTACTGTGTAAATGTGTAATATTACGGTATATGTTAAGTGGTAGCTCATACTGCATTTAGACTGTATTTTATGCACCTGTTCTATTAGAAGATATACAGCTAGACACATTATGCATTAATCATTTAGTATTAAAAATAATATTAGTCTTCCTGCATTCTTTTCGTCTCTTGTATACTCCACTTAGTGATATGATAGCTGCTTCATACATTAATTCACAAACTTTGTTGTGTAAAACATCTTTTATGAAAAGACACAAGACTGGCCTCCCAAAGTGTTAGTGACACTTGAGTATTCATAAAATCTTTACATAGGAATATTTCAACTTTATTATTCTGTGGTGGCCATGAAAATACAATGATTTATTATTTCGACACTAAGATATCAAGTCATTAATATCATACATTACAACACAAGTTTTCTGAATGCGTTTTCTGAATAAGCATTCAGAAAGCAGAACTTCGTTTCTAACTGCCAAAATATTCCTCCACACAGGCGTAAGTTATTACATAATCGACTATTTATGATACTGCAGCTTTTATAGATGTGTAATGGTTAACTGTGGCAGAAGGATGTATATGTGTTAAAAATCCATGTTTTGTTATATCAATTTTGCCCACCACCTCCAAAACCCACAACTCTAAAGTATCTTAGTGAAGATATGCTTCATCACAAAAGAGACAGTCCATTAGCAATCTAAGTAGTGATTATAAATTGTTCACAAAAGGGACAGTCCTTTAGCCATCTCAGAAGCTAAAGGTTTACAAATTTAACCCTGAAAGTCAAATGCAGTACATTCTGGTATGATTGGTGGTTTAATAGAGGAGTAAAGAATGCATTTCATACAGCATATAATTTCTTTTTTTTCTACACTACTGATGAACATCTCGTGGTTTAAGGACATTGTAATGGGGGAAAAGACTTTTAGTGGACACAGAGTCAATGTCATTCCATTTTTGACAGAATTTGGTTGCTAGTGGCGGGCAAACATTTTGACAACTCCATCATCATCACAGACAAAATTGATGTGTTTAGGATGAAAAGTTAGGTCAACTCATTAGGTATGGGTTTGATGAGTTGACAGAAAAAAATCATTGGCTATAGGAAAAACCCTGGTGTGAAACCCAGTGTAAGAAATGCTACACATGTATGCAGGGGCAAACATTGGTGTGATACATAGTGTAGCTGCACAGATATGCAGGTAAAACCCTGGTGTGATACCCAGTGCATGAAACGCTTCACATATCTTCGTGGATAGATTTCATCAGACATCTTGTTGTATATACATTACAAGCACACTGACAGTGACCGACGGACAGTTAGCCGAAGATGGCCCCACAGTTGGGACATCTCCTCTGTCTCAGCGCAAGGCAGCACAGGAGCCCGATCGGGAAGAAAACGATGGCGCAGCAGATTCCGAGACACGTGTAGTCGTCTTCCAGTACGCCAACTCTGCATGCTGGGGCACCCACCTAGGAGGGAGGGGGGGCGAAAAACGATCTCTAGGTCAGATCCGGAAAGTATATACAGTTTGCTCGGTCGAACATTTTGAGATGGATGTGTGTAGAATTCGAGACGACGAAAAAGACTTGGCAGTTAAAACAGGTTTGGACAGTCACACCAGGTTTATCAATTCCAACATCTGAATCTGGTATTTTTTGACAGTGGTACACGCAGTGCACATTCAAAGACTAAGTATCTTGTGTCCGCAAGCCAGACCACTTGGCCATTCTATGCCACTACGCTCAGTTCAGTTCCGTTCTATTAAAAAATGACTGGCATGTCACATACACAATGTGACATGAAATATATCACATTTTTAGTCACTGCACAAACATTAAGGCTATCCATTAACTTAAATAACAGAGAAACTTAAATACAATTTAAAGCTTGTGACATCAAACAATACAAGATATATAATAATGGAAAAACAACTGAACACTCACCTACTACCACCACTGATGTTGTTGGCTGTGGCTGGACTGTAACTGTCGTCTGTGTACCCATGTACGAGGGTTGTGACATCCCCTGGGGCAGGGGCTGGTAGCCCGGGGGTGCTCCTGTGCCGTACCCCCCAGGGTACCCGGGCTGCTGTGGCTGATAACCCGGCCCCATCTGTGCGTACCCCTGGTTCTGATATCCACCTGTAGAGAAAATATAACATTGGAATTATAATTACAACTACACATGGCATGTAGTGTAGTGTAGAGTCAATTAGTTCATGTGAATTTTGAGGCACAATAAAATTTTTCCTGTTTGTGGTATAAAGAGTTTTAAAATGGCAGTAACACAATTGAAGACAGATATTTAATTTGGTTGGATGATGTAAAAAGTTACCATAGACCATTATAATTTATATATACACTGAGCCTTGCTGACTAAGACCAGCCTTTGATAATAACGGTAACAAAATTTGCCTGCATATCAGTTATGCTTCTGTTTTTTTACACACAAAAATAAAAATAATTGTTCTATTGTTTGACAAGAACAAACAAAAACAGAGGCAACAGAAAAAGTCAGCCTTGTGATTCAGCAAAAAAAGAAGAAGTGAATTTAGCATCAACAGGAAGACCAAAGTCCACTTTTTAACTTTCTGTGTTGACTGTGAATCATGTGATGTTATTATACATGTGGGTCCCTAGGGTATGCTTACTCATACTACAGTCATAGTCACACCTTACATAATTTGATACACAAATAAATAATTTGTCAAGTTCTCTATCTTATACTTAATTATGAAGAATCTATAAATTAAAGTCTAACTACAATGAGATTATGGTCTAAACAGCCACAATATTATGATAACTGTGAATACGTAAATTTTTTATTGTACATGTATTTTATTATAAACACATGGAAACATTTGTCTAAAATAGCAGGGAGACCGAAGTGTTTGTTTATTACTAATATGTATCATGTGTGCCATATTTCTAACTCTACTGTCTATCCAAAACTTGTGCTTTATTTATACTTTGTATACTAGCTAACATACATGCACTTGTTACTTCTTATAAAGACTTCAAATTAAAACATGTTGTTCGTAATCTGTTGTTGACATAAGACGAAAAATGTAACACGTTACCGTTGTATTCTGGTGGCGCATATGGAGGCGGTTTGTCCGTCATTATGGAATGTCTGTTAGAGAACCTAGAGAAAGAGGAAATTAACAACGATTGAAGAAATAGAAAATTTTCAAAAACAGGCCCAGCTGGAATTCGAGCGCGAAATCAGCTGATTCCTACCAGGAAGTAAGGGTCAAATTCAACAACAAAACTGAACGTTCCTTGTTTAAAATTCGGAACATATGAACGATAAACTCCTCTTAAACACAACAAGGATGTACTTACCAAACAATGCGACTTAAAGAGCTAAAACTAAGCCTAAAAGTTAGCCCGAATTAGCGCCAACTTCTTTCCTTCTGCTCGCACTTGGATTACGTCATCAGGTCATAAGACTTGAATCACGTGGTCGCACGAGATCTCGCGATAACTTGAGTGTTGCCATGGCGACTCGCGATGTCTCGCGAGAGTAAGAAAAGGTTACTAGAGGTATGTAACCTCTGACCTCTCACAGCTGGCGAAGAAGCCTCATCCATATTTTCAACAAGATGATTCTCCCAGATTTTGGATGATATGAGGTTTGTTACATCATTTTTTTCCATAGATTAGGCAGACAAAAAGCGTGCATATACCATATAAAAGGCTCCTGTTATGATCTGTGATGAGAGTTGTAGTTCCGGATGATTTGATTGTTTTTGATGTGGCAGCTGACTTGACAAGCTGGACCCACTTTCACTTCTGCATCCTGCTTCTATATGGCCTCTATGCCTACATATGGCTGTTCAAGGAAAACCCTTCAGTGGAGAGGGGGTAAGGGGAATGGCGGAGAGTTGGTGTGTAGAGGGCTGGGGAGGAGAATGTGTGTGTGTTTGTGTGTGTGTGTGTTTGTTTGTGTGTGTATGTGTTTGTTTGTGTGTGTGTGTGTGTGTGTGTGTGTGTGTGTGTGCGCGCGCGCACATGCGTATGTGTGCATGTGTGTGTGTGTGTGTGTGTGTGTCTGTGTGGCAAATAGTTCCAGTGCTGAATCAGCAGTCAAAATTGCTTCAGCACTGGAATTCCAGTGCTGAATAAAGTCGAGCACTGGTTTTCAAGTGTTTGACGGCTTCATCCTGAAACTCCCTCAACACTGGAATTCCAGTGCTGAGAAAGGAGGGCGTTAATTTTGTATATTTGCATTTGTGTGTGTTTATGTTTATGATGATTACTGTAGCACTTCTTTCTTTTCCATCAGTTTAAAACCATCCAGGTGATATCTTCAACATGAGCTAAGGTTGGTGTGTCCACTGTGTCTGGTGAAAGTGACCATGCCTGCCACATACCTGTGGTCAGTCGACTCTGCTGGGAAAGTCTACACACTTTCCACTGGGGGCAGGCAGTGGGAGGAGGTTAAAGGTAAAGATCAGTCCATTTCAGCCTCTAGGGGGTAAAGGTGAATGAATTTTTGGATCAGAAAACTTCCATTAAGAATCAATAAGGGCCTAAAGTGGAAAAATTCATTGTCAAATAACTTCCTATAATCTCTTTTATTTGATTATTAGAGAAACTCTTCTTACTTTAACATTCAACCAGGTGACATTGAGTTGAAGAGAGTGAGTGCCACGGAGCAGTGTGCCTGGGGGATCGGGTGTGACCACCAGGTCTACCTGTACGTTCACTCCAGTGAAGTGCCGATCAGGTGCCAAGAATCGACATACGAAAACCAGGTGTGTAGCTGGTATACAGCTCATGTTGGGTTCTGTTTTATGCAGAAAAGGAATGAACACCCGGTAAACATTTAACTTGAAAGAAAAAACTGACTACTCTTTTGGTTTCTGTTTGCATTGTAGAGGTAGAAGTTACTACTAGAACATTGATGCAATTTGAATTAGCCTGGGTACTGGTGGTAGTGACTGTGGGAGCAGACGTAAACTAACCAGGATGGTACCCAGGCTAAGATGCAATAGTATATGAATAAAAGATAGATGACAAGAATTTCATTTTTATTCTATTTATCCTGTAGAGATGGAACCCAATGATGGGGTTTTCAGGCCAGCACCTGTTACCTACAGACAGGTGGCACTGGAGTAACCAGCAGGGCACGCAGCTGCAGCTGAAGGACAGCTGCACCCTCCCCTCCCCACACTGGAGCTGGGAGGACGACTGGTACATCGACGAAAACATCAGGGGAGAGCCCACTGACAAAGGGGTAGGTCTACTGACTATTCTCTTTTTCTTTCTTGACTTCAAGGTACTAGGAAATATTGTTTTGGGTGGCTGACTCATGGGCTTATGTGTTTGAGTAGTGATGGTTGTATGCAGGTTGGGAAGTAGTTATGACGGTTGATGTCAACTGTCACAACAGTTGTCAAGCCTAGAGGTCGAGTTGTTTGGGAGTACATGTAAGTGGAACGTATGCGGGGGAATTCAGGATGTGGTGTAATACCCGAGTATATTGCATCATACACTCCCCTCCATGGACAATGCCTCACTTTTAGTGGAAAAAGTAGGGTTGATTTTCAGAGCTCAAACAAGCTTAAGGAACAGTTCATGTTTTTAAACTGTTGGAATATTCCATGTAGGCTATTACAAATTTGCCCATGTCAATGAATATCTTATTTTGTTGTAGGGCTGGCAGTACGCGGTAGACTTCCCCGCCCAGTACGGTCCCAAGAAACGGTGGAATTCCTGCGTACGTCGCAGGAAGTGGATACGTTACCGACGATACCACGCAACAGACAACTGGGCACTGGTACGTTCCACGGTGTTGTTAGAACACTAATGATTTCATCTGGTAATGATGTTGAACTTGTGTGACTTTCCCTCTTTGATGACTTACAAGTCTTTTCTTCTTCTACCCTCTTGTAATACCTTCAACTGTTCAACTGTTAGAATACTGAGTACAAACGTAGTTTCTTCTCTATCATGTTTCTCTTTCTTTCTGTGTTCCCTCTATTTACCCTCTAGGTGAATGGACAGGTGTGATACACTTCTTATTCATTTTTTTCACTAACTGTAGATATTGAAATTTTTGGCATTTTGACATAGCTCCAAAATTTCTTGGTCACCTCTCTGTGGTTAACACGAATATCTAACCTTAAAATCTTGATAAGCTGCAATGATTTTACAGTATAAAGTTAGACCTTAGCAAAAATGTTCCAGTTCCAGTTATAGGTAGGAATTTACTTCTGTACATGTGGGAAATGTTATTTCAGAGGCTTTAGAATTCTTAGAATTGAAAATTTAATGGTCTTATTAGCGGCTGACAAAATAGAAGGGCCAGGGTCTGTGGGTTTTCGCTAGGGTCGGTTGAGTAGGCCTTATATGGTTATTTAATGTTCTTGCAGTTTTGAAAGCCTTGCTGTGATTTTTCAGATTCCAGGTGTTTTTGAAGACCCCCTGAAGGAACCGTTTATCGACGTTGCGGCGGGAGGGGCAGAGTTAACGGACCAGCCGCCGGGCCGTGTCTCTGTCTGGACAGTCACTATCATGGGGAGGGTGAGTTATAGCTGGCTTTCATCTCATCATGCTACTCTTGTTCTGTTTTGTTACATGATTTGAAATCTGTTGTTGTGCCAAAAGGTGCTCTTAGTACATTATGTTTTTACCCAGGATTAGGTAGATTTATATCTAAAGGCATGCTTCCCCGCAAAATTTTGAACCTTCTGATATGCCATTTCCTGTGTTTTTGAGAGGATTTAAAGGAAAAGTCAGAGACACTCATCAGATAACTGTTTCAGACAGTATTTTCTTTAAAGAACCAGAAAGATGAGTATATGATATCTGTTAGCCCCCACAATAATGGCATCAGGACAGAATCAGCCTTTTTAAAAAAAATCTTGGACATTTGGATAAAAATCCAGGGCATGAAGGTGATGTAAAAATCCATTTTTCTGGTTACGTTTTGCCAGATCTTTTACAGAACAGAGGTGCATGCGATGAACCCAGAAGGCTGCTCGTGGCAGGAGGTTGACAACGAGGGACGGGAATGTACGCAGATCAGCCTGGGGCCGTCCTGTCTCCTCTGGGCCGTGACCTGGGACGGAGAGGTCATGGTCAGGGTCGGGATCACACGAGACAACCCTATAGGTCAGGGACCAATAGTTCCTTCTTTCTGTGAAGCATACTGTTCATCATGATGTTGCTCATCATCATCACGTTGCTCAATTAATATGGATATTGTAAAGATCTTATTTTTTTTATGTCAGTCCCACTTTCAAGTTTGAAATCTCTGATTTCTTGTTATTTATGGGATAGCAGGGAGATCACATTCAAACATACATGTATATGTTTTTTTGTGCTGTCTGTTCCAGGCACATCCTGGCAGGTAGTGACCCCCCCGCGAGAGGACGTCCACTTTCTACAAGTGTCGGTTGGAGTCAAGGGCGTGTGGGCTGTCAGCAGAGGGGACAAGGTCAAGAGCAGTTTTTGTCTATTTCACTTGTTTTTCCACCAATCATAGGATCTTTCAATGTTTCATTTCAATTGATACGTCAAAGAAGTTAGACTCACAGTGTGCTTAAAGCTGACATCAGTAGAACATTAGACAAGTAATCAGAGGTTTTCGTAAAATTTCTTGTTTTGTTCAAATTAACTGTGAATTATTTTGGTGGTGATCCTGTCCAATGCATGTTCCCTTTGGAACAATAGCAGGAAATTGAAGCAGGAAATGAGACAACCTTTTCTGGGACCTTTGACCTGACTTCCGGTCACATCTAGAGACTACAAAAACAAAACCTCCACACACATCTAGATAATGACGACTGTATGTGCAAATTTAAACAGTGTTTCCAACACAAGACATTGGACCCAATTTTTTTACTATTGTTACAAACACAGATAAACTTTAAGATGAATCTTGTTATGACTTAACAGGTGTGGTTTAGGAAAGGAGTGGATGCCACACGAGGAGCGGAGGACCAAAGTTCCCTGGTGGGGACTGCCTGGGTAGAGATGGTGGGAGCCATGGCACTCATATCAGTGGGACCAAATGACCAGGTTGGTACAGTTATATTTACCTCCGCAGAAGGAAAACATACTGTCTTTTGTCTGTTTCTTTCTTGTGTCTTCTTCAAACAAATAATTTCAATGACCTGGACCAGTTACCCTGGTGACTGATACTGTAACAGATACCCTGTCATGTAGGATTTTGTTATGTAGCAAAGTGTCTGGACAGAGTTGGGGGGCTGGTCAACATATGTGTTTGAGTAAGAATAATGAGAGCAGTACATGTCTACTAGTTTGTCAGTAAATTATGTTAAGCTGTTATGTAGCAGTGGATGTAGATGTATAGTACACTAAAAACAGTGTAGCATTGTACATTGTATATTACATGCTCAGATGAACGGACTTTCTAGTCCAAGCTCACAAATTTCTGTTTTTATTCTTTATAGGTGTGGAGTCTTGATGCCAATGACAGGTACATGGTGTATTTCCGTAAGGGGGTCACCCCCTCAGAGCTCAGCGGGAAAACGTGGAAGGCTCTGGAGATCAACAAGGGGGGTGCTGCATCTATGGACAGCAGCGTTTCAAGTAGTATGTCTGACATCTACAGCCAGACTAACATGCTGTCCTCCCAAATGGATAGACTGCAAGTAGCAGTAGATTCCTTCCCTGACATTCAGCCTCAGGCTAGTGGACCGAACCTGGCATCAGATTCACTCACAGATAACCACAGCCCTGAGAAAGGTGGTGAAGTAGGTAGTAAATTCGAAGACAAACAGGATTCAAAAGAGACCAGTTCGGTCAGCAAGGCAGAAAAGGAAGAATGTTCTAGAGAATCGGAAACTAAGGAAGAAGAAGACAACACAGAAAGAAAGGCGTCACAGGAAAGTTACAACTCTGACATATCCGATACTGTTGCTGACTTCACTGGAGACTACGTACCACAGAAACAAGGTGCTGAATCAAACAACAAAGCAGCCCAAACTCAAAGAACACCAGGAAACATGCCAACAGGCAAACCAGAAAACACCCACGCAACATTAGAAACCAGTTCTGAAAACAGAAGCAACGTGATATGTGGGTCTCAGGACTCCGGAATATCCAAAGGAAACGCAACATCGTCAACAGAGAGCGTTAACGCCAGAGCTTCTGACGGAAAGCGGAATCCCGTTCTGGAGAAGTTGCAACAAGAAGACGAGAGCCAGTCGGAGAGCAGCGGAAGTCGCCGGGGGTCTGCGACGTCGTTTAGCGGGATGGACATGTACGCAGACCTGTACCAGCCTGACCCAGCGTGGGTGTGGGTTAGCGGAGGGGGATGTGTGATCGACACGTTCACGCAACCTAACTGGTTTACTGCCGCACCCTCCCACACTAATGGCAGGGGTAAAAATTGTTTCTATCTGTGGAATATTTCTGTAACAAATCCTGTAAACATGTATTACTATTCCTTGTTGTCAATAAAATAGAATGGAGAGAAAAATGACATTAATTTTGACTGTTGGCATTTTGATCATAATTTCTAGGAAATGACTGTAAATTTATCAGGATGAAGTTTTGCAAACAATTGGATGATTCTCTACATTTTGATTTCAGGAAACTCCATGCTTGGACCTCTGGACAGTATGGCCATCTGGGGACAGGTACAGATCAACGATGCCCCCTGGAGGAAGAAGGTCCTACTGCAGCTACATGAAAGGACCACGAAAGAGTTACAGCCATTCCAAGACTACGAACAAGCTATTGAAAGAGTGAGTAGTCCTACCTATTTCATGTCACTTCGTGTCATTTTTCTAAGACATATATTTACCTGTTGAAGCTATTCATGGAGCTTAGTTCTGACATCAGAAAATTTGATGACACATTTTATACATTTTTACAGACATCATGGATTAAGAAGGGAAGTCTTCAGTACTGGAGTGACACCAAGCCTCACCGTTGGGTGGACTGCCGGCTACATCTGGAACAGAGCTCAGGGAAGGGCCTGCACGACTGCAAGTTCACCTGCTACTACAAGTACTATGACTCTGAGAAGGTTAGGGGAATGTTTCTATCATAAGGCCACACCAATTTAATTTGTTGGTTCTCGGATTTTTTCAGAAAAAATATGAAGCGACAGGGCGAAAAAAAATAAAAATGAAAACAGGTCTAGGCATCCTATTATAGGCTTAAATGCTACAAAATGAGCCATGAAGTCAACACAAAAGGCTGGGTTAAAATTTAAACATTGAATTTTGAACTTTTAATCAAACTACTGCTGCAGCAATGATAGATGGGAAAACTGTAACAACTAGGAACTAAGGACTTTCCTCAACTGTTGGGGGGCAAAATATTAGCATTTTTCAGTTGATTCAGGACCAGAATCAATTTTTTTTTTTTTGCAAATCAGAAAATAACGAAGAGGCGAATCCGAGAACCAACAAATTAAATTGGTGTGGCCTAACGATATGTCAAAAGAATGAAAAAGTTGTAAGTGAAAAGGAGCCTAGAATTTAGAAGCTTAATGTCCAATATCTCTTTGTTAAGAGAAAATGGGGAACATCTTAATCCTGCTGATTTATGCATATTAGTATTAATGTTGCATCAGAATTTTGCCTGTTGCAGATGATATCTTTTCCAACACAACATTTGCAAACTATAGACAGAATGTTATCCTTAAATATGTGAAAACTACCTTAAATGAGGCACTCTGCTTTGCACATTCTGGATTTCCCCAAAGGCACAGTATGTTCTGCCGACATACAATGTATTGATACCATGAACTGTTTTATCAAATGTTATCTAATATATCTATTCAATACTGTCCAGTACCTACAGTTCCCCCTGAGTGAGATAGTCTGCGTACTGAGGGTGAACCACGGCGGGAACCAGCGCCCAGTCCTCGCCATCTACACCGCCAAGAGAACCGCCAAGAAGGTTCCCGTCAGGCTGGCATGCTCCACGGAAAAAGAACTTGAGGATTGGGTATGAATTCTATATCTAGTACATGTAACATTAGTATGATTTGTGAAGGGGTCGGAATGTTTTAAACTGTACTGTATCATTTGACAGGTTAAAAACAAGGCAATCGAAGATAGCAGACTTCACATACAGAAACTGCATTGCTCCCTCAGGCAGGACATACTGAAACTGCACAACAGAAACAATTTTGATCATTACAAACTAAGGATTTTTCAAATACATACCAACAAATGTCAGACATGTCTAAGCCTAATGCTAAACTAAACTTAATTACTTATTGATAGAGAATGGAGAATCAGTTATTCTTTTGTTCAACTTGCTATGATATAATAATGTTTCTTTTACACCCTGCAGTTGACAGCCATCAGCCTGGCCTGCTGTGAGCTGCAGGGCTGCCAGGGGGCACCGTCAGGCAGGGCGGTGTGGTCCACCACGTGTAGGGGAGACATCTTTGTCTACGAACCCACTCCTGACATGGAAATTACACCTGCCAATCAGATGTAAGACTAAGACTCATGATCCTTGTTTTCTTTGATCTTTGAGTACTTTTTCTTTGATTAGTTTTGGGTAATTGAATTGATATACATATATGTACAGATTTGACAATCAGTAAGATACAAAAAAGTACAAAAAGATGTCAACCATAGTTTTCTAACAACAAAAAGTCAGAAATATATCAGCTACTGTTTTACATGTACAATGTACCTGCACTACATAATGATAACTTCTTTAGGTCTTCCTGGGCAAGAAAGGAGCAAAAACTCATGACACAATTAAATCTTTCTACAGTTTTCCTGCGTGTTCCTCCCTAGCATAATTGTGAAATGTTTGAAACTTATCTTTATTGTAAACTTGTAGGTTCTGGAGACAGATGGGAGGACACTTGAACATGGTGGAGTGTGGTGGAGGGGGCGTGGTCTGGGGCGTCGGCTTCGATGGTACCGCCTGGGTCTACGCTGGAGGGTATGGAGGAGGCATGTTTAAAGGTAAGACACTCTTAAGGGTGTACTTAAAGTTAAGAATCCTTCCAGAAGGTGCAGTCACATTCCTACAAGTACATATTTTTGTTTGTCTGTTGACAGCATAAGTCGAAAAGCTGTCAATGGATCCTTATGATATTTGGTATGTGGGTAGGTATGTTTGGTATCCTGGAACTCTAGCTGTGATTTCTTCTCAACATTTACAAGAGAAAGCATAGAGATTTGAGAAATATTCACTATTGGAATCATGATAAAATATTTGTTTCCTGTTGTATAGGTATAGCCAGCAGTCCTGGAGGCATCCATACCCAGACTGATGTGAAGCACATCTACATCTATGAGAACCAGCGCTGGAATCCCATGACAGGCTTCTCTGATAGGTAACAACATACAGTCATGGTCAAGTGATTATAAACTAGGCTATACATTGTCATACATGTATATACTACATGTACATGTATCTAAAATTCACAGGATGTTAGTGCCTTCTACTATTTCCCATTGCATATTCATAGTACAAGGACAGTGAGGACTATATTAGTTAGAAATACTTTAGTTGGTAATCTAGCTGTTACATATGTTACATGCAGGTTTACATGGCAATGTAGTAGCTGTCCTTAAGTTGGTCTAAAACATATTGTATCTAAAAGAGGCGTATATTCTCTCACAAGACAATGTCTAAAAATTGTTTTCTTCTCTTTCCCATAGAGGTTTTCCCACAGACAGATACATGTGGAGTGACATCACAGGGAGACAGGAGTGTACAAAGGAGGGCACCAAAACACCAACTACAGAATGGCACTGGGTGGGTCTTACATGTACATGTACATCATCATGTAAAAATTATTATGTAACATTTTTAGTTAGAAGAATTAAGCTGTTATTTTATGTGACGATACCACAGCCAATCCTCTTCAGAATTTCTGAATAAATGAGTTGAATTTCAGATAATCAGGACAGACGTATTTTTCACTTATCGTTTACTACGTTAACTGATTTAAAAGAGTGAAACTTACTTGATCGTGAACTGTACGTGTTGTTGATTAGGTTGGTGACTGGACTATTGACTACAAACCACCAGGGGGTGCTGATAAGAAGGGCTGGCAGTACGCTACAGACTTCCCCGCCACGTACCACGGGTATAAAGGCTGGAACGACTACGTCAGGAGGAGGAGGTGGATGAGGTAAGTGTCATGGACTAATATATTCTAACATCATTATGAGTGTGTGTGTTGCTATTGATAGTACTGGGAATGGGATTGGATGTCTCCTTTTATAGGTGTATCTTGGCTTCAAGCTCTTGGGGGGTATTTTGTCTATAAAAAACCTCAAATTATTCTCATTACTAGCATTACAGTCAAATTTTCAAAGAATTGAATTTAAGTCAAGAAAATCTTAACATTTCTTACATGACCAGGAAAGCGAAGATTGTGACCACAGGCCCGTGGTTGGAGGCCCCGCCCCAGCACCTGAAGGACATCGCTGTCCAGGTCGACCAACCAGAGAGCAGCACCGACCCCATTGCATTGTGGGCCATCGGCGTGAATGGTGACGTTCTGTGCAGAATGGGCGTCATCCAGGACTTTCCACAAGTGAGTACACACATGTACATTGTATTGTCTATCAAATTTGATTGATAAATGATTTATAATGTAATAAGTGTTTATTGTGTGTATCTTGTAATGTGTTGTTAATACGTGTACAGGGTGTGTCCTGGTTACATGTACCCACGGACCAGCCCATGACATCAGTTTCCGTGGGGGGGAACAGCAGGGTCTGGGTAACAGCACAGGATGGATCCGCCTTCTTCAGGAATGGTATAACCAAGAACGAGCCTCAAGGTCAGGGTCTTGTCAATACAAATATTACTAGAAAGGCCGACATTTGCTTGAGAGCAAATGGATCCATCCTACGATGGCTGCCAATAGTCTACACCCCCATGCAGAAATGGAACCTTCCAATGCCGGAAATAGCCAAAAAGCCCTATTTTACATAACTTTAAAGTGGTGTATGTCAAAATCGTGAATGACATTCTTTGGACATGTGTCCAAGGTATTCCCATACCAAATTTCAGGTCATTCGGATTTAATATTAGGGCACAGGAGCCAAAAATGTACATTTTGGGTCCAAAAATAGCCAAAAAGCCTTATTTTTCCCAATTTTAAAGTGGTGTATGTCAATAGCTTGAATGATTTTTTGTAGACATATGTCCAAGGTATCCCCATACCAAATTTCAGGTCATTTGGTTTTAGTACCTGGGAACCAGATCTCAAAATGTATATTTTTTGCCTGAAAATGGCCAAAAAACCCAAATAAAACAATTTTTCAAAAAAATGAAAAAAACGCGTCGGGGTATTTGCCCACTCTACCTTCATGCCAAATTTCGTGTTATTTGGCCGGAAAATGGCAGAGATGAATCCATTTAAAGAAATGGCAGGAGAAGAAGAAGAAACATGAGGGAACACAATATGTCTTCACCACTTTGTGGTGAAGCCATAATAACAGGATTTATTATATGTATTCAATTACGGTAGTACACAAATGAAAGCTGGTGCATGCAGTTGGACTGTTGCTTTTTAAACGTTTGATACGTGAAGGGGGGTAGAAAATGGTGTCCTTAAATGTGACAATATTTCCCAAATTAAAAGTGCACTGTAGATTTAGAGTGACTTAATGATTTTTTCTTTGTATTTTCTAGGTACATGCTGGTTCCACATCCCGTCCCCACATAACCGCCCCCTGGTGCAGGTGTCAGTTGGAGAGTCTTCAGTTTGGGCTGTGGACAAGCTCCGTAAGTTTTCAACTCTTCCTCTGTTACTGACTGAATCAGCGCAGGTGGAACATGTCTTGTTTTTGTTTCTTTGTGTCAAATGGTAGTAACATAATCTAATTCATCACCCAATTTGATTGAAGTGAAATCCTCTTGTTTGTGATTATGCTATTACATGTATGCCTAGCTATATATAGAGGCTATTGACCTAAAAATGGTGTATGGTGAAATAGCATGTTTTCACTGTAACAGTAACGTGTAGAGGAAAATTTAGATTCTAATAGTTACAATCATGTTTGATGAACATTACATGTAATTTTGTATTTTCATCTAACATTTGACGTGTTAATTTGTATCCCAGGCCTCACTGTAGTCTAGAAAGAAAACTTTTTGTTTCTTTCCTTTGTGAATTCTTTCTGCTTGTTTTGCAACTGTTTTGCTCCATGTAGAAAATCTGTGGTATAGGACCCACACCGAACCTAACTACCCCCAAGGCACCGCATGGTATCACCTCACTCCCAATGTCCTGAAGGTATCGGTTGGACCACAGAATCAGGTAACAGGGGTGTTTTTTTCTCTCTCCATCTTTTTTTTTATTTTCTTCTCCTCCAGACTGGTTGTGGTTTAGGGCTCAAATAACTTCTACCTTTCCTGAGGGCACACACTGGGACTATCTCAGTCCTAATGTCAAGAAGGTTTCTGTTGGACCACAAGACCAGGTAAAGTTGTATTTTTTTTAAAAATCATGTCAGCACACAAAAAATATTGCACACTTTTCAAACCTTGTATGACACATTTGAATCACAGCAAATTGAAATGCTGGCTGTTTCAAATTCATTTTTGCAAAATCCTCCTATAACAAGCCTCTGCAAGCTACTATTATAACCCTGTAGAATGTATTTTTTATGCGCTCTTTAGACCTTGCTTCAATGTCTAACTCTTTCCTCTGCTTGCAATTTTATATATTGCTGAGGCAAGCTGCTTTTCTCCTGTTGTTTATTAACCTGTATGCCCCCTTCCCCAGTTACAAACAAAGTATTAACAAATTGACTGGAAATGTATTGGGGTGCATGCATGCTGTAATGTATTATATTATGGATGTGGAGGAATTTCTGGGCAGCTCCTAAAATGTGCATTACAGTACAGTATAGTCCCTTAGATGAATGAAATGCTTATAGTTAGAGCGCATTGAATTCAACTGCTCACCAATTATGTTGAATTAATGCATAAACTATGACTACATGTACATGTAGAATGAAAATGGCTGATAACATTTCACAGGCAAACCCACAGTTTGTTGGTATGGGGGAATATTTGCTTGCTCGATGTAAAATTTGTTAATGTGCTTGGGTATTAAGGTGTGGATTTTAGCTGAGGACAGTCCAGAGAAGGGCACATGGATCCCGATGGCTGACAAGGTCATGGACAAGGTCAAAGAAAAGGTGCAGCAAAGAGTGAACTTTCTTATTTGACTCAATATAACAACATTTTGTGTGTGTCAGTGTGTGTGTGCATCTGTGTGTGTGTGACTGTATATGTAAGTGTGCAAGTGTGTGTGTATATCAGTGTGTGCATGTGTATGTGTCTGTGTGTGTGTGCTTGCATGTTTATCTGTCTGTGTGTGCATTTGTCCTAACTTGCACGTATACATTGTGTACCTTGCTTTTTACCTAATGCACTATTGCTTTGCTTTTGCTGCACTGAAAGCCCACACATACTTCCACTGTTTTGTTGGATATTGTCAGTTATCGGACAAGATGTACATTGTACAAAATGTAGTTCAGACAATGTTTCCTTCTGACTATCTGACAAAGATGTTGCACAACATTAAAATTCTCACCATACTACATACACGATACCTTTTTTTTTCAAGCATCTTTGCGTTTAACTTGGTTACTGTATTATACTTCATAGTTAGGAATCAAAATGACAAAAAAGTTTTGATTTGATTTGAAAAGTGCTTTATCACACAGGTATGGGTGCTGCAGGGTTACGTTCCTCCAGGGTCACGTGGGGTCGTAGGTCACAGGCTAGGGGTCAAGATACCAGAGATCCCTATTGGCAAGACCTGGGACACCCAAGGCATTGGGGTATGTAGACATCATCTGTATCTGCATCAGTATAGCCGGTATAACCGCCCTTTGGTGTAACACACCATTGGTGGTACAACATTTGGGGCATGTAGGTTCAAACTCAGAACCTTTAGATTTTAAGTCAACAACCTTACCCACAAGATCACCAGTGGTTCAAAATTTAGAAATATGTCCACATGTTCTTTATTTTCTACCTGTAGCTACAAACTATATTTTTCTTTTCTCAGGGAGGGTGGATCCACCTAAGTGTAAGAGCCTGCACAAAGCAAGATCCTCCCACAGGGGTGTGCACAGATGATGCAGCAGCCACCATTAAGGGTGTTCATGAGGAGGAGGAGGCCAACAGTAGTGTGTACAACAGCCAGCCTGTGTGCTGAGGCAGACATATCAACATATTTGAATCATGTTTGCAAAATATTCTGCTATGTGTAGGTAACCGTTTTTGACTCCTGAATTTTGGAATCAAATTTGGGGATAGTTTATATTTCTTTCAGATGAAGGTAAATATTTTAGTCTGCCCAAACTTATACTCCAAAATTTTGATTCTAAACATCTGTGTCGGTATAGTCGGTATAACCGCCCTTTGGCATAACACACCAGCTTAACATAAGTTGATTGAACTATCTGATATTAATATATGAGTATACAAACAATAAGCATTTACAAAATTATATTGTCTCATATATAAAGTGGATAGGTTACCTTAACATCCAGATTTTTAGTGCAATTTGTTAAGTTTATTTAACTCTATCACAGACTGTACAAAAAAGTAGTGCAATACATATGATATGTACTCTATGCTGTAACCCACAAACATAATGTATATGTTGATACAATACCCATGGTATATAATATATATAGTTACTACATAGCTGTTTCAGTAAGCACAGATTGAAGTAACTTTCAAAGTGGGCAGGGGGTGGCAGTATATTTTTCATAGGAGTGTTCACATGAAAAATGTAAGCATAGTTGACAACATGACATTGGAATCTAGCCATGACACATGATTATATTTCTAGATGACAGACACATCCTAGCTGTATATGAATTGAGAAAAGTATAGTCCTGAAAAATCGTGCAATGTGCATTATGTATAATTTAGCCATGCATGCTGGTCATTCTTATTTCAATTGGTAGTGGAGGGGGGTATGCTGAAATGATGAATATGACTATTAGTACAGGTGCCAATGCAGACTGAATTGTATGTTGTAAACTTAAGATAATTATTATGTTAAGAATATCTATAGAACCATGACAGGTCATGTTTTTGTTGTCAGAGGCTGTAATGTGTTCCATGACAAGTATTCAGTGTGAAAGTGAACATTATGAAGTAATGAAGCATGAAATTACTGTCTAATAATGTATTAGTCATGCAGCTAAAAGTAGAGTGTTCCATTTCCAAATGCTACTAGCAGTGCTACATGTACTCTGCCACTGACTAATGGCTTACACACTGTAGATAGGGTAACTTTACAGAGATGGTATGGGTTGTCATGTGTAACCCAAAAAGTTGTGGATACATGTAGGTCAGTGTGATATTTAGTATAAAGTACGTGGAAATGTGTCGGCAAAGGGAAAGTCAACTTCTATGATAGGCCTCCTGGCAGCTTTGAGGCAGACTTCAGGTTTTAATGGCTCATGCTCTGCACATGCTACAGCCATAATCTTTTGGTGGTGCATGTAGATAGCTCCTATGTACCCTCAAATAGATGTGGTATAGGTTTGGGCACTCAAGCAGTATTTTTTGGACTCCTGGGGCTGATTTTGTTTGAGACTTTGACAGTGAAAACCTAGACAGTGAAAACCATGATATTTATTATGTTCGCTATATTTGTTGCGTTATACCTATACTAAGATACTGCTGTAAAGAGCTGTATTGCTGCAATGTATAAGCTATACTATGAATAAAGTCTTATTCTAAAGCTGTAAAGTAATGTACTTTAATGTACTTTTTTTAATGATTTACAGAATATCTTTGATGAATCTTTGAAAGAATATATTCGAAGTATTTATTTATACCAACTCAGGGGTACTTGAACACACGCTCAATTTCAGGTTAATATTTTGAGAGCCTCTCGCTGCTAAAACAAGCGTTTAGAATCGTTTATCGCCGTTTTTATTCCCGGTCGCTCATTCGTGTCAAGCACATTCCTGGTTTTGCGCCACACCCTGGGAAAATTCGTTCCGTCAGCTTTACACAACTTGTCAACCCGGATTTAGCCATGTATTGTCGGACGCCACCTGTCGGTGATTAGATGTAATGCAGCGTAACGATAACGAAAGGGATCATTCCAAAATAGTAACCATCAACGCAAACGTTAACTATTCATTCACAAATTAGATGATATGACTGGAAAAATTCAAAGCAAACATCGACTGCTATCAATATTTCTATAGTTATGATTATTTGCATATTTGATTAAACATTGGCACCCAAAAAGAACAGTTGATTTCGATTTGAGTAGTAAAACAATAACTTAGGGCGACCCCTTAGCATATACAGTATTGGACGTATCACGTTAGATCTCAAGTGTTGGGGAAATCCACCCGACTGTATCGCTGAGTGACATATCTTGTTTGGGTTGACTATAGTTGCGTTCAGTTGGGCCCCGCATACCCACACAAGTCAGTGTTTAGATGCGAATGTGAAGACTCAGGGGAAAAACAGAATGGCTTTGCAACAAGGTAAGATTTAGTATTCTATAGCTATAATACTAAATGTTTATAATTATTCTTTTGGGAAAGAATAATGGCTAACATAAACAGCCCTGATTTGGGATTTGAAAGGGTCTGTCGACTGTAGAATGTAAATTGAAAGCCGCAATTACGTTGCTTGAAAAGTTTCTTCGCGTTGGTAGGTCACACATTGTTTTTAGAAATATTGAAATTTTGTCAGGTAAGAATATTTGGGTTGTGCAAAAAGCTAACCAAAATCTTTCACCAGTTTTAAAAGGAAATCTTTGACAGGTTTTCACGTGTTTCTGCATCATCATTCCATTGTTCGCGATGTCAAAGACAACACTTACACAATCATGATTTGAAAAATGTATTTGTTTAATTTTGTGGGTGTTTTGTTTCCATTTGTTGTTAAGCCTAGCATTATTATTGACGACTTGTCATGTGTTTTCTTCATACAGAGTTCCAGTGTTCGCGGTGCCGCATGACCCTCCCATCTCACGAGTTACGAGACGAGTGTCCGTCGGCTGTCCGCAGACACTGGGGCCGGTACGACTACCGTCCCAACACCTGGGACGTCCAGAGGGAGTGGAGCTGCTGCCTGGAAGAGCGGGAAGACGCGCCGGGCTGCAGACGAGACGCCCATGACGTCATAGCTCCAGTACAAGGACTCAAGATTCAAACTTCCGTCCAGGATGTAGCCCAGTCGCTTCTTAAGAGCCGGCCTAGCCCAATCTTGAATACATCAACCTCGTCAACTCCCGACCAAAGCATTTCACCTTTCCCGACTACTAAAGAACAACAGCAAGGCCGTCGTAGTACTGATTTGGACGAAAAGGACAATCTACTTAGACAGAACCTTCAAACAGAGACGGTAAGAAATGGAGACAAGGTACTAGTACGTTCTGTAGCAAGGAAACCGTTCTTGTATGTACCTATGTATTTGCCTGAAGAGATCACGGAAGAGACTACTAAATTTTGTAGTAGAGACGACCCCTTGGAAAGGGGACCTATGCCGACAGAGTTCGACAACAGTGAACGACTAACGGACACAAACGCCACGACGTCTTTCGTAACACACAGCAAAAACCAAGGCACTGATTCCTGTGAGAAACATACAGATTGCGACGAAGAAAGGGGATCCTTTTCTCAAAATTTCAAATATGGAAGTGCGGCACTTGAAAAAGCAAATTTAGGGGAGAAAGACGAGTCTGAACAGTCGACAGCTGCAGCAAGTTTTTCCTCGGAGAGTAGGTCACAGAATCGCGGTGCACACACGGATAATCTTCCACAAAAAGATCAAGTCAGTGCCGATCAACAAGCAAGATCAAGAGTTGTGGATCTGTATCAAGAATGGTTGGATAAACTCAGATTAGAGTCGCCACCATCGTCATCACCCTTGACAGCGACGAAATCACCGCCGAGAAGACTAAAAAACATCCGGAAGGACCGGCGCTCCCAATCGGACGACAATCTGTCCACTCGGAGCAAGGCGCGGTCTCATTCATCGTTGCCGCGGCAACAGCCTCACAGACTGGCTGAATGCAGGTCTCTCTTCAGCAGCGCCGTGGATTTGACGTCGTGTTTGCGGTCATCTGAGCAGGGAGAGAAAAGTGTTGACAAGTGGCTGGCAAACAGTCGGTCATCTCAACAATCGGGCCGTGAAGAACACATGATTCAATTTGAGACAGAACGTACAAGTCACGCCAAAACTATGTTGATGAGTGGAGAAAATGATGGTGTTGACAGGGGACAGAAGATGTCTGATTTGACTGGAATGAGACGTTGGATACGCCCCACGTACACGTCCTTGTTCCCTACGTCGAATTCGCGGCTGAGCAGTGTATCAGCGCCGAAAAGCGATAAAAGTCAAAACTGCAGGAAGAAATCGACATTGCCGCTCGCTTCTTCTACTCCTTTCGGATATTCCGCGTCAGAGATTGAGAAAAGAAGAACCAACCCTTCCCCAAACGTAAGGCTCGGGAACGTGGAAAGAGCATTTGACAATCCGCCACCGAATTCTCAAGTATCATGGACGACGTTGCGACGAATGACCGGTTCACAAAATACACCCCAGAAGCCACCAGGGTCCGTGCGAGTTCTGGGAATCCCGTGCCTGGCTGTTCCTCTCGTATCCGTGCCAGAACAACGACAGAACACCCGCCCGTGGTCGTCAACATCCACCTTACCACCCAACCCTTCCCGACCTTCCTGGCTCATCATCCCAATTCGCCAGCGGCATAATCGGCAAATCTCACCGCCGACGCAGTCTGCCAACAACCGCCAAGGCGTTTCACTGTCACAGGCAAGCTCAAACGTTCCTACGGGCCTGCAGAAGGCTGGAGGTAAGTCTCCCTTCGGCGTATATACCCCGGTTGGCACACCAAAAAGCAAATTGGAAGCAGCGAAAGGAGAGGAAAAGTCATTCGGACTGCATTGCTTTTTCCCTCGAAAAAACGCCCGTATCAATCCGCGCTCTTCAAGATCTAACGGCCGGGCAAACCGTCCATGTACATGGGCTTACAGACAGTCAGTCCAGCGGCCCTCCGTGCCAGAATCCTTCGGTCTCGTCTGCGTAACCAAGCAACAAGCAAGCTCGACTAATCTTAGAGAAAAAGTACCCTCATCAGATATGGTTGAAAGGCAGAACCTGCCTGGAACGCGTGACTCACTGACTGTAAACACGAACAAGAGATGTTGGAAGGAAAGTCTTCCAGATGACGCTGTTCTTGACAGTGTGTCTCGGGCAGTCTCTTGCCCAGAACTGAGATATCCTGACGTCTGTAGTGGATACCAAACAACGTCTGAGACTCTCCATGCTTCAGGATCGGGCACTTGCGCAAATAGACGACAGGAAAGAGAGTCAACAAGAAAACTGAGAGGTCAGGAGTCGTTGGAATTCTCATTGAATGAACAAGGTATTCTGGTGTAAAATGCATGGGATTTAGATGATGTTTGTATGTGCTTAATATACTGGGGAAAAAGCACACTTTTGCAATGTTATGTTTAATTTTCGATTTTTGTCTTGTATTCTAAGCCATGTTTATAACCGTCATTCTGGTATAATCAAGAATTTCACTTTCCAAGTTAAAATTCCGTAGGAGTTGATTACTTTGAACTTTTAAAATGAAATAGGTTGAATAGACTCGATTAAGGTATCATTTCGTAATTTGTTTGTGACTCTTAATTATTTTGAGGTGGGGCACAAGTAGATACATGGCCAAAGAAAGAGAAATTCAACGTTCAGTCAGGTAGATTTTGTTGACAACTTTTGTTTTCAGAAAAAAACCTTTGTATTTGAATTGCCTTATTGCATGCTGACCACATTTCTGTATAATTAATTGTTAGCTATAACTAATTGGTTCAACGTTCTACCTTTAATTGTTATCATAGGAAAATTGAAGTACATCAATTGCCAATTAATTTTACGTTTTTTATTCATACACAGTATGATATCACCTTGTTGCATTGTTATTATAATAATAATGTTTAAAGCCATTTGTATGGAGGTTGTGGTGTTGAAAATGATATTTTGCACCTATTATGCTGTCAAAAATGTTCTTTATTTGATTTAGTAAAAGAATGTTCAGTTGGTGCATCCGGATTGGTCGGTTGTTGTCATGTGACTGACGTCGATTCCGTATCCAGTCGCAAGCTTGTGGAGGTCGTCGATCAAGGCTTGGTCGATCGCGTGTTCTCTCGCGAGAATCCACAAGAACTGGACATTACCCAAGCCCAGAACATCAGAACACGACCAGATGAAAGTGTAGGTCTTGTAGTCCGTCTTCAGAACCCAGTAGTCTCCATATGGGGCAGCTGTGGGGGTTGAAAAAGCAGTCGTCATTAGTATAGTAAAGACGAGGAGGGGGAAGGGGTCATAGACTCATCAGTCACGTTTGGGATCAGATTATGGACACAGAGCCATCTAGTGGTAATGTATACAATTGCATGCGCAGCATCAAAAGTAGTACATGTACTCACCACTAGCAAAGCGCACGGCCAGCTTAGCGGGATACTTGGGGTCGGGGTTGTACAGGTCACCGATCCTAATGTCTATCTTTCCGTCCCTGAAAGAGTAAGAAAATCACGTATAGGGCTCAGAATGTTTACACAGAAATGTTAAAATCCAGCATTTGTTTACTTCCAGGCTTGAAAAACACATTTAGCCTAAGCAAATTTGTCCAAAGTAACTACAACACAAAAATCAATACAGGTTGACGGTACACATCGACAAATACCCATGCCAAGTACTAATATAAACATCGCAAATTTCAGCAGGGATATCATATAGTGACGTATAATGTCCTTGATTTACATAAAATGAGTACTTACGACAATGTGCCCTCATTATCGACCTTGACATGTCCGTTCGGCAGCAGTGTGTAGTTAGCCCGGACACATTTACCAGATTCGAAGGCAGCCGGGAACTTTTCTATTTCGTACCACGGGCCCATGTACTGAAAAAACATGGAAGGAATGAATACATCTGGTTAAACGTTGTTGCACTCACGTGACTATGACGTACCTCGTAAGTATTGTCCGCCTTGTTGAATCATGTTAAATTTGGATGTTGCCACGTAAATTTGGCGGAATTTAAAAATACATAACCCATTGTATGAACAAATCAGAAAAGATAAAGAAGATTAGGCTATGCAAAGAAGTAGCAAACAATTGAAAGACACTCAAATTTGCAGAGAACAATAGTTAACGAATCACGAGGACACGCAACGTGATGTCACACATGGCTTAATGTATCTCACAACAGGTGCCTCTGGCTTTCCAATCTTATTTTATTTTCAACTAAATTTAAAGCTCGTAACTTGTATTATACAAGCGCTGTACCACAGTGAATGAGACAATCATGGACTTGATGTATACTACCTTAGATTCAGTTGTTTTGTGAGAAAAAGGGCCTATCTGAAATCTTGCAGAACAATATGTTAGCTTCTGAACTCTGTACATAATACATTGTACCTGTCTCTGGTATAACTTGTGTACCTTGCACCCCCTTGCTATCTATTTAGGTCATTGAGAAAATACGTTTCTTAGTCTGGATTAGACTTGAAGAACAGTATCCATTCCTTACTTTTCGCAGGCGCTATTCTATGAAATCCATAATTGCTGGTTCGTCTGTGAATCAGTAGCAGGGGCCTAACGCATACGTCTTACAGGCAAACATGCAAAGTCAGTCCACGTGACTATACATGTAGCACAATTGAGCACGTGTTGAAGTTAACTTAAAAACACGTTAACCACCCTTTGCGTTAATTGTGTATACCCTTAACCATTACCCATTTAAGATTTTATTGCAAACGTGGTCTTATTACAACGCTGCAAGCATCAACCAATTAAAAGAAACCGTCGTTGTTCTTTTGCTGGAAATTGCTTACTTTTCTAAGCTTAAAACCAACAGTGTAAAACTATAAAGGCACAGAAAACAAAAGTTTCTTCCTTACCGGTTTGATATCAAAATCTTGTTGCACGTTCACTGTTGGACATTTCCCGAAGCCTGGGACTTGCCCTTCCACGTACGTTACCGACAGTAGAGCCACAGCTAACGGGAGGAGGTGGAACATCGCCATGTTGGATCGATTCTCAGTGTTCTACAGACTGTGCCGCAGTGGAAGCCTCACGTGGAACCATCTAATCACTTGATCTCATTGTGTTTTGTAACCGCTGGTCTCGAAGTAGGTCATTTTACTGATAGGTTAATCGTTATACAACGTGATGTGAGTAATCATTGGCTACTGACAGGCCTGTACAGATTTGGCAAATATTGTGTAATCAAATCAAAGATGTGCAAACTTAACCCTCTTGTGTAATACAATTACGCAACGACGTGAGGGGTGTTTCAGAATGCATCACTTAGTACTAGTATGTGAATTGTACTGAACTGTGCCTTTAAAGGTAAATGGTCAGAAAAATTAAACCTTCTAAAAAGAGTCACAGAAGACATAGTCAAATGTCATATCAATGAAACACACAACACAAAAATGAAGGGAACGATGTTTATTCTCGATGCATTTAAGTTGCTCATTACAGACATAATTTTCCTCGCTTTAACACAAATGTAAAAACATTCAGTTTGGAATACTGTATATTTTACTCTTTCAACATTGACAACCCATTGCAATATTGCAATATAGATGAATTCTTTAATAGATATTTCGGTTTCATGTTTAAGTACTATTTTCTTTAACTTATTGGGTCTCTCGAAGAAGCATAATTTCGTAAAAAAAAAAAGTTTTTTTAGGAGTCACATCCCGTTTGATCGGTTTTGCTGAAGTGGCTGACGTCAATTCCGTATCCGGTCGCCAGCTTGTGCAGGTCGTCCACCACGGCCGGGTCAAGCTCGCGTTCTCTCGCGAGAATCCACATGAACTGGGCGTTAGTCAGGTTCAGGAGGTCCACACAGGACCAGACCAGGGTGTAAGTCTTGTAGTCTGTCTTTAGAACCCAATATGGTCCGTACGGCGCAACTGGGAAAGTTGGAAAAAAATTACGTCAGTTTTAGTAACGGTAGATAAAAACGTCCTCACTGATCTTAATATCATGTATTAAGTAAATAAAATAGCAAGCTTTTTTCAACAATCAAACAAACAGAAATACTTACAACTATAAAAGCGAACGGCGATTTTTGCCGCCTCTTTGGTGTCAGGGATGTAGGCATCGCCGATTGCCTTCTTTACTCCGCCGTTACTGGAAAGAAAGATATGGACGATCAATAATCACGAATCATCGGAGAGGGTGTTTGTTTGCACTCACGTGACTATGACGCAAGTATTGTCCGCCATGCTGGATGGTTAAACCTGGAAATTAAGCCTTGCACTTTCTGTGACCTTCAAATGGAAATCTGTAAGTTCAGCCAACTATCATATATGGTCGCTATTACGCCACGTTCCTATTTCGTATCAACAAAAAACAAACAAACAAACAACAAATAAACATGTGTGCTGAAGATGACTACTTACACGTTCTCCTCATTATCGACCCTGACGTGCCCGTCTGGCTTCAGTGTGTAGTTAGCCCGCAGACATTTTCCCGCTTCGAAGTACGCTGCAAATCTCTCTATCTCGTGCCATGCACCAAGATACTGAAAAAATTATCAATAAAATGATTTGGTTGCCAACATTTCTTGATATGTTTAAAGCAGCTGTATTCGTAACACTTTACCTTTGGTTACTGCATCGTTGAACTGGACAGACAAATGTTAAAATGAATGAAACCGTGGCCACTCTGGCTAAAAATGGACGATTATCAGGATGATTAGGCTAGGAGTAAGATGGAGATATAAGAAGAGACTTGAATCTATCTAGTAAATTCCTTACCTGACTGATGTCAAAACCTTCCTGCACCTTCACTTCAGGACACTTCCCAGGACCGATGACCTGTCCTTCCACGTACGTAACGGACAGTAGAGCCACAGCTAACAGGTAGAACGCCGCCATGTTGGAGTCTCAGTGTTACATGTGATGTCACAATTTAAGACACGTGAAACGGACTAATCTAATCATGTCATCTGTTTGTGTGTTTGACAACCGTGAGGTCATAAAGATCACATGCTGTTGTGTCAATCGTGACGTAACATATTTTGCATTGTTCTGATTTACACACACTTGGTAAACAATTTAAACTCCTACTGAAACTTGGGACCAACATTTTCAGATTACATGACTGTATGAAAAGTAATTGGTTAACCTACTTATTTGCACAGAAGATATCGATAGTCTAAACAAATGCAATCGGTCGCCGACTTCGGAATTCTAGGTTAAACGAAAATATTGTACTTTGGTTAATCTCTATTGTACTTTGGTACTGTACTGTATAGTAGGTAGATACGATTGGTATAAATGCGGCTTGTCACGAAGTCACTTAACAGTTGAATGAAAAGCGTAGCAATATTCAAAATGCTTTATTTGAAATACCACATTGACTTCTTATACTGCTATAAGGCATACCTATCTCTGACATTAAGAATAGAATAAAAAGCGAAGACATGTGGTCTGTTGACTGCTTGAATGGGCTGTTTTATTTTTCAAAATGCATAACACATTCTGATATCATCAGTCAATGGCTTTTATAGCAACATTCTTTAACATATATGAGATTATGAAATGTTGGTGAAATAAAGTATCTAGTTAACGCATCCAGTTTGATCTGTTTTACTAAAATGGCTGACGTCAATTCCGTATCCGGTCGCCAGCTTGTGCAGATCGTCGATCACTGCTGGGTCGACCTCGTGTTCTCTCGCGAGAATCCACGCGAACTGGACATTACCAAAGCCCAGAAGATCCCCACATGACCATATCAGGGTGTAGGTCTTATAGTCAGTCTTCAGGACCCAGTATGCGCCGTACGGGGCAGCTAGAAAGGTTGAAAAACGCATTTTATTATAGACTACTCTCTATCAAGGGCAAATGTACAAATTGACGTTCTCAGCTAAAAAAAAGCCTTGCTTAGAGCAAGACTGTACTACCAAGGACATAAGATTATTATCATACAGTATAATATCCTTGGTACTATGAATCGTATTTAGCGACAATCTAAAAGTGCTTCTCACCGTCATAGAACCGCACGGCCAGTTTAGCCGACTCTTTGGGGTCTGGAATGTAGGCATCACCGACTGCAATCTTTTCTTCTCCGTTCCTGAATATGAAAGAATGTCCAAGATGACGCACAACTAACGTAGACGGGGGTTTCATAAGCTGCCTGTACGTCCAGTATTAAATTTGACACAGACTGGTGTTCAATTTCTGTTTGCAGTTAAAGCTTGAACTTTAAGAATCCTTTCACTGACTAACACTAACACATTGCTGAAAAAATGCTGCTGCAGAAGAATTTTTCATGTTATGTTTTCTTATGAACATTCATGTAAAATGTTGCCCACCCAACATGGCGGACATTACTTACGCCATAGGCACGTGAGAGCAAAAGCGGGCAAGGGAAAACATATCATATGTCTAAACAGCATCCAGAAATACTTACACATTTTCTCCATTCTCTACCCTGACGTGTCCGTCTGACTTCAATGTGTAATTAGCTGTGATGCATTTCCCAGCTTCAAAGACTGCTGGGAATCTCTCTATCTCGTGCCACAAACCAAGGTACTGAAAAAAGATTGAAAAAGATAAAACTGATATAAATAAACGGTGAACAGTAGTTTATCTTAACGTAATTGTGAAAGGTAGTAGGTCGAAATGTTAAAAAAAAAAGAAATAGTTAAGAAACCTCTTGTCTTTCTCGTCTAGTTTTCCTTCTTTTTTGATTTTGTTATACCCCAATTAAAAACGGGTCGAGGGGGTCATAAAGTCACCAGGAATAGACAAGGTAGCTATATACTTCAACAACCTCATACCGGCCCTATCTTACAGCAACACACACGAAGCAGATCAACTTCAGTACTATTAGGTTGATATTATTTCAGGGTTAACCCTGAAACACACCAAAACACATCACAAAAAACATTCAGAATAAACGTTATCTGAAATCCTTACAAATGACGTACAACTGACCTTTGCCCTGTTGTCAACATAGGCTGTTGTGTAACGGCACAAGACATTATTAGGTAACATTTTTTAGGGTGGGGGAGGGGTACCGTGTCACCGTACATCATTATAATGTTACATCAACTTGAACCGTCCTGCTGTCACAGAATCATTTTTCAAGAAGAGTTTGGTATATTCTACACTCTAAGTAGTACGTATCTGTGTATGGTTATTGTATGTTGTTGGGGGTATGGCTATTGCTTACAAACGGTCAATGGAGAATTTGCGAAGGAAACCAAATGATAACATCATAGAAAAGAAGACTTTGCCAAAAATGTGACAAAAAGGTACATGTATTTCTCACCTGGCTGAGGTCAAAGCCTGCCTGTACCTGCACCGTTGGACATTTCCCGAATCCCGGGACTTGCCCTTCCACGTACGTCACCGACAGAAGAGCCACAGCTAACGGGAGGAGGTGGAACAGCGCCATGTTGGTTTCTGCGTTGTACAGGTTGTGTAACAGCTGAAGACGCACGTGAAAGAAACTATCTAACCACGCCCCTCGTTTGGGTGTCAACACGACAAGGGTGTGGTTATAGTCGTTACTAACATAAAGTGTCAATCATTATCGGCTCAATCAAATTAGAGAAGAATATAGCTTTGAGGAACAAGTTAGTCGGAGGTGTGAGGATAAGGACAGATACATTTCCTGTGTGTAAAATCACCAATACTAATACACCGAATGATATGACGTTTGAAACAGTTTAAGTATGAGCAAAGACCCCATGCTGAATTATAAGTAATGTGATACACAGAAAGTACAATATGATGGAACCTTTTACATTGTTCGACCGTATTGGTCAGGGTTACCACCTCATTATTACCGCCCCTATTGTTAGCTAAAGACGGGGCGCGCCAACTAGACATCCATCCTGGTGAATTACCATGTAAATCACCATGGCTGATACTCCTCAGATTAAAGGGGTGTTTTTGTTTTCGGCTGAAGTCCAATGCTGCCCACTATAACTTCTCTTGACTTTCGCTCAGGGCATTACCTGGCCCAAGTTAATTATAAACTTGTGCGCTGGCCTTGGATTTTGAACTTGTTGACATTATTACGTTGCTACGTGTAAATACAGTGTATTTTGCTCTTGACTGGGATAGTCCGCCATAGATGGCAAAAACAGGCGCCACCACGATGGGCAGGGCATGGTTCTCAAAAATCTACGGCCAATTCGTCCACGGAAAGGGTCTCCTCGCATCGCTAGTGGCTGCGGTAGGTTTCACCGTGAGCCCGGTGTTGAGTCGGCGGGCCGCAGACGTGGGTGTGCCGGGGTTCCAGTTGGTCCTGGTGAACGAGCTCTGTAAATTCGCCATGTTTGTCCCCTTGGCTTTAGTGTTCCGAGCTCCACTACGGGGGAAGGATTGGAAGCAGACTGTTCTCATGATAGCCAACGGTGGATTGAGGGCGCTAGGAGGAACGCTTTTGGTCTTGTCCGTTATTCTGATTCCACCGGGTGAGTACAAAATATACGTGTATCATTAATATATAAGATTTGTCCTTTTTAATTATATCAAAGAGAAGTTCCCATACTTCGAACACCTAAGCGCAAATGATAAATTTATATTTTTGATGCGTCTAGACAAACCTTGTATCACAAACATGATCTGCTCCCACATTTTCCACTGTACAAAAAAGCGAGAAGAAGTTGACCTGTCTGTATTAGCTCAGTGACTAGAACACTATGTATTAGCCTAGTATAGTACCCTTGTATGTTCCTTATGTATGTATGTCTAAGTCAAGTAGTGCATCTTTTGTCTCCAATTTTCTATATACGTTTTATGTGTCTGTCATACTCAGTATCTTGACCTGTACCTAGCCCGTCGTGGCATGAATGTACAATAAAGGTATTTCACATTTCACATTAATGACAGCTCAGTCAGTGAATGTCTTGGAAATATTATATTAGTTCCTTTTGACCGCGGGCCGTAGCCTGCGCTCAGTACCAGAGGTGCGATGTCTCAAAATAGAAGTCCTCATCATTTATTCAACACACAAAACTTGTAATTGCATTTTCTCCTTAATGAAATTGTTTCTGAGGCTGAACTCTGTGACTTTTATTCCCCGATATGTAAATGAACGGTTATTTTTTTCCAAATTCATGACGTTTTACATGCATCTAGTATCTATTAGCCTATTGGACTCTGTCTTAAGCCTGGTTATTTTTTAATATTTATGACCGCAGTCTGCAAGTCATGTGTACGAGTTTGAAGTTTTTCTTATGTCTATAAAACTGAGTCCTCTGAGATCCTTTGGTACCGATTTCATTCACAGAACTATGGGCTGAAGATGACACACGTGACATGTCAGTGAGCAGTGGATCATAGGTTTCAGAAACTTTGTGGTGCCCCCGTCTCTGTTGACAACCTGTGTCACGTGTTTTTATTTTACGTTGAACGTGGCGTAAACGCTCTGGAAACATAGTATGGTATACTGTGTAACTTTGGTACACTTTAATAGTGATAAAAACAATTGCTTCCTCTGTATTTGTTTCCTATTCTGCAGGGAACGTGTTAGCTATAAGTCAGGGAGCAGCAGCGCCCATGTTCGGCATGATGGCGGCCTGGTTGGTCATGAGAGAGGCGCCAGGATGGCCCAACGTCATCGGCATCGTCTTCCAACTCACCGGCGTCGCCATGATTGTTTTTGGCGGGAAACCGTCCTCGGAACATTCGTACAAACCCTGTTTGAACCACTGGAACAGTACAACCGAACGACGTAATGTTACTTGCAATGCAACTCATTTTGGCAACGTGACTATCGAAACTGAGAGGGAAATATTTACATCTAGAAAGCTCATACACGACCCCTATGTAGCATATGTCGTTGGAAACATTTTTGCTGTTTTGAACCCATTAGTACTGGCATTCGTAGATGTCATAAACAGACGGAATCTAAGAAACAATGCCAAGATGACTTGTATTGTGTTTGCCGAGGGTTGGGGTTTTGTTATTATCCTTCCTATTATGTTCCTCACTTCAACACCGAAATGGAATCTCGAATTAGAAGTTATTTTCAGTCTAATAGGACAAGGTGTGGTATTGGCATTGGCAGTTGGGTGTCTATACAATGGCCTTAACTCAGAAAAGGCGGCGACAGTGTACATCATGTTAGGCCTTAGCACGGTTCTAGGGTACGTGCTACAGTACTTCGTCATATACTAGTATATCACTCCGCATGTGTTCGAGCTATGCGGAGCGTCCATTATTGTGATGACCATAGTTGCTGTTGTTGGGTTTACTTGGAAACAGCGTGCAAGAGATGGGACGAAAGAGTTTAAGGAGGAATGTGAGAAAATGCCAACCCACCATTATAATGAAATGGAAGTTTACTGGTTGGAATCATCTGTATAAGATAAAGACAACGATTCTACCGGCGGCCAACTACAAAGTTAAAACGTACAGAAACTGCTATGTAAAAGGCTTGTGAGATGTTGATTTTATTTGATTTATTAGCTACTTTAGTATACATGCCCGTAGCCAGGGGGGGTTCGGGGGGTTCGGAAGAACCCCCCCACAAGGCTCAAAGGTCCACTTTTTGGTCCACTTTTTATGTAAAGGTCCACTTTTTGGTCCACATTTTATGTAAAGGTCCACTTTTTGGTCCACATTTTACGTAAAGGTCCAAGATTTTTCTTGAAAAGATGGACTGGAATCGTAGAAAAACTGCTCCGTTGTCATTGAATAAAAATTTATTTCTGATTTTTTCTTGGAAATCCTCTCAAAAATGCACGAAATGCCATTTTAGAAGGTTCATTTTTCAAAATTTTCCGGGGGAGCATGCCCCCGGACCCCCCTAGGAACCTCGCGCCTACGGCGCTCGAGGTCCCCTAAAGCAGTGGGACGACCCCCCCCCCCATTCAAAATCCTGGCTACAGGCATGGTATATATATATTATCATTATATATAATATATATATTAGGCTGTATATATTAAAGATAAAGACAGCGATCCTAATTCTATCAACGGACTACAACGTTAACACAACACAGAAAATGCTTTATAAAAGACTTGTTTGATTTATTAGGCTGTATATTAAACATGATCCCAAAGGAGCGCCAGACGGTACAAGGGGATGGATAAAGTAAGTGGCCTGGTGACCGGATGATATAGAATAAAACATTCTCTTTCTTGCATTCGATTTAATTTCATATTTCAAATGTAGAGCGTAATTCTGTCGGCTTCAGTTGTAGTTTGTTTGCATTCCGCACGAGGTCCCCCTAAACCATGAAAGGTCATTGACAGTTGAAAGGTCAACTGCTGGTTACCGTTACATCATAGGCAGGGTCAGCTTAGTGTCAGCCAGCCTCTGCACCTGCCATGTGCCAAGCCGGTAAGATTTGGATGTCGTGTTGTAAAAACGGGCGCCTTTCTCGATGGCTACGGTAAAGAGAATGGTTTACGATCAATTTATCCACGGAAAGGGCCTGCTGCTGTCCCTGGTGGCGGCTATTGGCCTGACCGTGAGCCCGGTGTTGAGTCGGCGGGCCGCGGACGTGGGTGTGCCGGGGTTCCAGCTGGTCCTGGTGAACGAGCTCTGCAACCTGGCGTTCTTCGTGCCCCTGGCGCTGATCTTCAGGGTTCCGTTCCGAGGGAACACCTGGAAACAGACCGTTCTGATGATGGGCAATGGTGTACTGAGAGTCGCGGGTACGACATCTGTGGTGGTGTCTGTACTGCTTATACCGCCAGGTACGTGATTACACGTATAATTTTGTGATTCGTTGGTTAATCATTACTAGTAGAAGGGCAGCCTTTGTTTAATATTTCTGTACTTGTACTATGGTTGTCTGGCAATCAAGGCAAATACAAAGATATTTTTGAGAGCCATGGTAATATTCTAAGATAAAGCATTTTCAGTCTGTGTGACCTACATATCGTCAGTGCCTGTTTACAGCAGTGACAGAGACAAATCGTCTTCGAATGGTTCGGCCTGACCGTGTTTGTGTTGTCTGTTTCCGTGCATGTACGTCTGTCAACTGGTACAGCCGCTTTTGGGAGGATCACATTTTGCGCAGAACTGGCTATCATAATAAGGCTTTAATGAAGTTTATTGCAAATTCATGCCCGGGGGGCTAATTGCAGATTACAAACATCAAAGAACAATGAAACGTACTAAAAAAGTAAAATATACATGATAAAAGGTAGTTGACTAGAGCTATAGCTATGTCTAAAACTATGTCTAAGGGGTTTGACTTCTCTTTTTTAGACCATGGAAGACGTAATGTCCCACCTTTTCTTTTAATTGATTTGTAACACCCAGCCTGCCAGAAGAGCAAGTGCCATCAATGACATATGATTTAGCCCACAATGATTTGATTTTAAAAATGACACCCGCGCGCGCACAGATTGTCCCCGGTGATTAAAAAAAAAAGAAAAAATTGTTGTATTTCGTCAGAAATACACTCAAAGATTCGCTACAATTCCGTGGTGGTATCTAGCCTGGGTGCCATTCTAGTAAGTTTACCAGGATGCTAGAAGCTAAGACGGTTCATCCTGACTGTACATAACAATTAGCCGTTCATCTAATGAAAGACTGACAATTAGTTATTACTAGTATATACGTTTTCACGGAGGTGGACGGGGGTCAGTCCATTATATATTCGTATTGACTCATTGTATTGTGACCGACGCCATTTTCTTTTTTTTATCTGTGATATTTTTTATTATATTAGGAAACAGCTTTGCTATTGGGCAGGGAGCAGCTGCACCGATCGTCAGTATGGTGTTGGCCTGGTTGATCATGAGAGAGGCTCCGGGCTGGCCGAACGTCATCGGCATCGTCTTCCAAATCGCCGGTGTCGTCATGGTCGTTTTCGGCGGAAAAGCAACCCTCGATTCGTCGTCAGAACATTCAGATAATCCATCTGCTTGTGCAATGAACAACACTTGTGTTATGATGTTTGGCAATGGAACAGATTATAATTATACAGGAGCTACGAACACCACAGCAAAGGATGATGAAACTTCTACAAATCTGATACCTGACGCGTACGCAGCGTACGTTGTAGGGAATATTCTCGCTATTTTCGGACCGTCATTGTTGGCGTTAGTGGATGTTAATAACAGGAGAAATATGAAAGATAACGCTAGATTAACAAACCTTGTTCTCGTGGAGACTTGGGGATCTGTGTTCATCTTACCTCTTATGTATCTTTTATCGACTCCCAAGTGGCATCTTGAACTAGAACTTGTCTTCAGTATTGTGGCACAAGGTGTCATTTGGACACTTTCCGTAGGATGCCTATACTATGGCCTAAGCTCAGAAAAGGCGTCGACAGTGTACATTATGTTGGGCCTTAGCACAGTGCTGGGGTACGTGTTACAGTATTTTGTCAACCATATCACTCCGCAGGCATTAGAGCTTATAGGGGCGGCCTTAATTGTGCTGACCATAGTCGTTGTTGTTGGGTTGACGTGGAGACAAAATGCTAAAGAGGGAAAGAAAGAAGCTAATGAAGAGGAAGAAGAAGAGAATGTAAAAGTGAGGGACAAACTGATTGGGGATGGTGTTGATGTCTGTAAGGAAACATCTGTATGAATGAAATCATGCGCAGTTCATCTTAAAGATGTGCAAAACAAATCTTTATTGTTATTTGGAGACAATACATGTAATATTGAATTTAATTTTAGTCACTTTCTTCTCATTGTCACGATCAATTTAGATGCTTGGAACACTTTATGAAGGTCACGTATTTCTTTCAGTTTTTACTTCATTTTGCATCGTACATTGTACATGTTTCTCATAGCGGCCATAGAATGAATATAACTTGTTTTAAGTGGATTTCTTCTTTACTCCAAATTGCTGTACTGAGCATGCTCCTGTCCTCGGTCAAACAGCAGCACCAGCGCGTAAAACAAACATGACGTCACCTTGTACGTCATAGAAACGACCAGTAAATAAAGTCCGAAATCTCTGTTGACGTACAGCAGACACGAGCCCCCATTGGTGCAGGAGTTGTCCTGTAGGACGCATGCGCTGTCGATGACGGTTCCCATCAATAAGAGGCAAGGGATGAATCCTGGGGGAAAATTTAAAGGTTACTGCTTACAAAATTCGATACGTGGGGCGTAGAAATAGAATTTTGGAACAAAACACTATCCAGTATCCCCTGTGACAACCATCTCCTGTTGATTGAAAAATGCACTCATTTTATAGATTGTATGATTAGAATACATTGTTAAAAAAAAATTAAAAAAAAAAATAAGGGCAAAAAAGGTGGTTTGCGCGATCGATCTCAAGTAAAGTAACATACATAAGAAAGGTGGTAAAGATGTCTACATCTCTTTTTGGTGGACGGATGCCTTTTATATTTCATGAACGGATGCCTTTGTTTCATTTATCATTTTCTTTTTTTTTAAGTTTGAAAAATTACATTTCATTACACTACGATGCACTGCACTACGCTGCACTACACTACACTACACTACACTACACTACACAGTATTAGGTATCACTAACCTAAACCTCTTATCATGACATCCTGCACTCCTGTAGCGAATGGACCGTCTTCTTCTGTAACTGCCCTAGGGTCAAATGGCAACATGACACGATGCAATTTTGTTGGATGTTCGAGTCTTTTGTTATGAGAAACACATCAATAACAACACCCGACGTAGGTTAAGTCTCAATGGACTTGGAAACCTTTGTTCATTCCATAGCTCTTAATTTATGTTTGACTGTATAGTTTGCTTTGCTTACCTTATTCTAAGTATTGCTTTCTGTTTTGGTGGTGGCGTTAAAAAACAGGTCAGGTGCACCTCCTTTTAATTATGTACTGCTAATACATGTTAAAATATAAACAGAGAAAATAAGAATTTTTACCTTAGGGTTGCCGTTACTAATGGGACTGATGTGATAAATATCCCCATACTCGTGAAAAACATAATGCCAAGGAACAGGGGCTTCAGCGGACAGTCAACAGCACACATCCCTGGTGTCGCCAGCCCCCCATCTACCACACATATGCAATTGTCGTAAACCTGAAGTAATAGTGAAACAAAACAGAAACATCAAGATTTGTCATTATGATACAGAGATAAAAATGCATAGATTATTAATCCAAGTTATTTAATCACTGTGACATTTACGTGACATTTACATAATTGTTTCAAGTATTTGCATCTCACGTGACCATCGCCGCCATGTTTGTCGGTTAATCTAGAATCAGGTAAATCTTGTTGGAAGTTGGAACTATGATTATGTAATTAAGGCTTCATGGTCAAGAAATTTGTCGCGTGGTGCCACGTCCAAGCACATTGGGTAAAGAGGCTAAATTTCTTTTAGGTGTCATACAACATATCCGACCTGAGAATCGTTCACGGTGGTGAGATTCTGACATCCCGCGAGACACGGCGAGAAGTACACCACATCGTCACTACCGCAAACCGGCTGGTACTGGTCACGTGAACAGTCACACTGTGCGTTGCACCCGGTCATCAAAGATGGTGGAACGGTCGCATTAAATCTGAAAGTTAACAAAATTGATTACGTCTTCAAAATTTTAGGGGTTACAATATTTAAAGGATCTATTAAGATGCGTAGTTTTATCAGACGACTCACAATGTTCTGTCAAGTCCGGGACATGTCGACGGCATTCTCAAGTATTTTTTGTTAATTCATCACTGGTTGTAATTGGCACAAAGAGAAAATTCTAACCTATTGTGGTAACCAGTATTGACTCCGGCCATGGATACATCCTCACAGTTGATGAGAAACAACAGCAATGAAGCCATCGTCATCAAGGTGAGAAGAGTGCACATCTTCACGATACCACGGACTTGCAGTTCAAACCTCTTCACAAGATATCCACCTAAAAGAGTTCCAATGGTAGCGCCTGGGACGCTCACAACGCCTAAAGCAAGCACAAACGAAAAATATAGACTGTTAAATTTGCTGTGTGCACCTGCATGAGTTATATCTTCTTATTCTTTAGAAGTCACTACAATAGACCTCTACGTAGAATACGAACAGTTCATCGGACTTAGGGATATAGAATTTGTGACGTCACTGCCGCCATATTGGTTGGTTACACCTGGTGGACCTATAAGAAATGCCTGTGTATAATCTCTTCATTTCGCGTCTGTGTATCATATTGAGGCGCATTAAATGTTTAATCTAAGGCGAAAATCATACATGATGCGGGCGTTTGGTCTGTATTTTAGTAATACTTTGATACTTTATTGGATATACATTAATTGAAAATGAAAGGAATGAACAATGAATTGACAGGAGCTCTTACCCATGAACATGGCTGCCTCCCCAGCTGATGTTCTGAACTGGGACTCGATGTACTTCGCTATAAACGTTGCGATCCCAGAAGCAATTCCTTTCTCAGTCACGAGCGCCAGCGACAGGAACACAAACGTCGGATTCCGCATGATACGGGCGGATTTATCAACAACGCCATGGAGAGGACTTAGATCGCTGCCATTTTGTTGCAGAGGAGACGCAGTGGTTGATGGTACATTTCCTGTTTCGCCATTTTTATCTTCAAGTTTGGTGTAATCCCGTTGCAGTTTTTTCAGTGGTATTTCTGGCGTGGTCGTGGCTTCTTTAACGTCAACTGAAGGACAACAATGAACTAGACACTGTCAGTAATATCCCATGTAACGTCTTTAGAAAGCAGGATATGGGAGCAAGATAGAATTAAGATTTCAATCAAGAAAAATAACTACAAATCCCGCAAAACAACATACACTATGTAGTTGGATGTACCTTCCACTTTGCTGGCAAGTCTTCTCGGTAGACCCAAAATAAAGATGGCTGCCACGACAGCTGATGTGCCGGCAAGTATGAACCCTATCCACCATGCCCCTATCCACTGAGGATGTTCTGGGTCGATATTGGTGCTGATGGGGAGACAAAATGCAGTTTTTTTACGTCACCAAAGTGCTGGAATAAAGCTATCGTTTTACTATGATTACTACCAACACAGATAAAATTTCATGATGACTTGTGTTTGTTTAGTATGTTTGCATTTTCTCGAAGTTACCTTGGTTTTGTATCGACAAATATAAGTACATGTTAGTATGGACCTTTAGTTATCTCCTGTTGTCCATGATTTGTTTTTGATGATTTATGTTTTGGGTTCTCCCCCATTTGGGGTTCGAAAAACGCCAACATGAGATGTATTTTTCCCTGGTGTAATAAACAAACAAATTAACCAACTAACTAACTAAACCTATTGAAAAACAAAGGATAACCACCATGGGTGCGCATGGCCTATGGCAAAGCATCAGACTATGTATTATTGCGTGTACTCCATTAGATAGCAAAATGGTAAAGTGCTTACGGAAATGTACTGTCCGTAGGTATCTTCAGGAACACACTGGCTAGGAGGTAACCAACTGCCGGACCCATGACGGAGAAGGAATAGTAAATACCTAACATGACATAGAAAATAAAGCAATGTTAGTTAATGAATAGACATAGAAAATTATGCCATATTAGCCGATAAATCGGCTTACGAACATATTTTGAATACATTATAATGACTAGTGACAATCCCTCCATGATATACATAGTGATATGTAACATATGTTCTTTGATATGATATGTTACTAATGTACATAGTTTGTTGCAACATCATGTAAGAATAAGCCTCGCAATTCAGCCATCATAGCTGCCAGGAGGCTTGTGTGTACATTGTCTTGTTTTTGTTCTTGTAATAAACCATTCTAATATGTATATTAAAGATTGTATAGATATAAGAAAGTCCTTCAATAATCAATTGCAAAAGTTCTTACCTATCCCATACTAGCCACCCACTCTTGTATTCGTTAGGTTAGCCTAATGAGAGTGTAGTTAATGTGCAGATGCCATATACTTTGTACCATGTACGATTTTTGTGCAATAAAGTTAATATTATATAGTGATCCTCCTAGTGGCATTTGTTATTAATACAGAGAAACATTTTCTACTATTCTCTTTGTGACATTTACATGGTATGTGACGTTGATTTTTTGCTTGACAGAAAGCTTTCATAAACGATATGAAATGATATGAAATAATGTTTATGGCTAAAATACAACCCACTTCTGGAAGAATTCACAGACTAACCAGTTCACGATACCGAAGCCTTACCGAGGTATACCGAAGACTGGTGGGGTGGGCTGTTCTCGTTGATGTATGTCACCCCCAGACTGAACAATGCGCATGCGCCGGTCCCCACAAGAAACTTCCCCAAAACGAGGACATACATGTAGCCCTTCATTCCAAGACCTGCACCACTTGTAGTATTTCCACATCCAGTCTGCGTCCTAAAATAAGGTTTAAATTCGAAACAAAAAATTCGCACTTTTTGAAAATATTCATGTTGCTTTATAGCAAAATTTGAAACCCCATGCAGATATTATTGTATGAAACATATAATGTTGTCTGGTGGCATTTTTTTCAAAAGAACTACCACAGAAATATTACAATTATTCCATTTTTGTATTTAGAAATTTGCAAATAAAACTACCTCTTTAACACATCTTACCAAGAATCAAAATCGGCCGGAGAGCTAAAGTTCGAGGCGTGACGTCGACATAACTCGTGAGAAGTCGTCGGCTGTATTCGGTAAGGTTCGGCGACGAAGTGTGGAAGGGCGAAGACGAAGGCTCCCACGGCAAGCACGAGCATTCCGCAGCCGAGCCAGCGGGGTTTGTTGTTAGCACCGAGATAACTGATCTGTAACAACAACAGTGAAAATAAGAAGCTTTCATTCCTTTTGCTTTTTAATATCTGTATACAAGAATAAAACATTATCTTAATGATATGCAAGCAGATATTCGAAGGTTAACTCGCTTTCCTAACTGATTCTGTCTGTCCCAATTAACAAAGGAACTGAAATACACCAAATACATGGTATGATTACCTACCGGTAGAGATGATAGGAAGTTTGCCACATCATTTGCTGTGAGAACGGCGCCCATGTCTGTACTGGTCAGGTGAAACCGCCGCTCCAGGGTGGTCACAACACTTAGGGCAAGTCCATTTACTATAGGTTTAGGATATGATATAAGAATATAAAAAATTATGAATATGTAGCAATAACAGTTCGAATATGGGAAGTTCATTTACATGTCTTCGCAAGGACTGAATTTCACTGTATTTCATAAAAGTGTATAATAGGGAATTCAAAAGTCACTATGGTGCTTAGAGATGGTCCGCCATATTGGATGGTTAAACCTAGAAGTTGTTTGTTGCATTTGTTTCTGTACTGGACCAAGAAGGTTAAAAATTACATGTATTTAACCTTCTTGACTGGACGTACTGCATCATGGCTGTTGCGTCACGTGTTGGTGACGTCACGTATCATGTAGCATATCATATCATAAATTTTACTAACTCAAAACTGTATTAAACCTACCCGTCATAGCTTGAGTAAAAAAAGCACAGCTCAGGAAAGCCAGAGCTGCCTTTGGATTGTTCAACACCTGGAAGATGAGTACAAAAACCTAATGTTCATAAAGTAGAATATATATCGTCAGGACACAGAATACGCCACCTAGCATACAGAACTTTATTGACACAACAAAAGTACAGCGACTTTCGTAAGGCCTTATTGCCTTCTAGAATGAAATTGAATTTATCTAATTCCGTAACAAATTCCGTTGAGCAAGCTTAGCCTTAGAGAAGGCTGAACAGCTTTGTGCGTTTATCATCATATGAGTTGTAACTTGTAAACAAACCTGTAATGTAGCAAGATTCCACGATCCCCAACCATAGTCGTCTCTCTGTTTGCTGCATTCTTCTTGCCCAATACAGTCTTGTTGATCACTAGTACGGTCTTTCTTCATGTTGGTTCTGGGCTTGCCTCTAGGCTTATTCCGTATACTATATAACGTTATATACTGAAAAATATGCCAGCCACGCACTGTGACAAGAATACATGAGGTTTGTAGAATTGCGTTGTCTGATAAATGGTGGATATGACGCAATATGCTGTGTCAACAGTTGAAAAACGATGTAATAACTGAGCTACATTGATGTATCAAAGTAAAATCCCCACACAAGAATATATTTTTTTGTCAATCAGAGCTAGCTACAGGAAACGTACCTGTATATGAGCGATCGCCACGACGTCACGGTAGACAAAAAGCGGATGACAGTTGATTTGCCTACCAATAATTTGCATATGTCTTCAAATAATTTGCATGTATATCACGTAAACAAAAACCAATTACGTGTACACAGAAAGACTGGGGGATTCAGTAATCATTCAACAGGGGGGTGCACTGCGCAGTCTGTTGTGGGATGATACGATGGGGGAGATTCGATAATTATAGAAAGTAGGAATAGAAATCAAAGCACTCCGCAGGCATTAGAGCTTATAGGGGCGGCCATAATTGTGCTGACCATAGTCGTTGTTGTTGGGTTGACGTGGAGACAAAATACGAAAGAAGGAAAGACAGAAAAGAAAGAAGAAAAGAAAGTACAGTTAAATGATAAACTGATTTGGGATGTTGGTGATGTTTGTAAGGAAATATCTGTGAAAAATGAATGAAACGTTTTGAAGAGTTCCTTTCAAAGACGTGCAAACTAAATCTTTATTTGAAACCTTGAAGACACTGATGATAATATACATAATGTTAGTGTACATCTTCCCTGATGTCCCCGTTCAAATGAATTCACTTAATTACGTAACTTTTTTCTCATAATCTTGATGAAATATATATGTTAAGAACTGCCTGCTATTAATAAACACTTTATGAAGTTTTCATATTTTTGTCAGTTTTGACTTCAGTTTGCATTGTACATTGTGCACGTTTCTCATAGCGACCATAGAACGAATATAACTTGTCTCAATAAGTGGATTTCTTCTTTACTTCAAGTTGCTGTAGTGCGCATGCTCCTGCCCTCGGTCAAACAGAAGCACCAGCGCGTAAAACAAGCATGACGTCACCTTGTACGTCATAGAAACGACCAGTAAATAAAGTCCGAAATCTCTGTTGACGTACAGCAGACACGAGCCCCCATTGGTGCAGGAGCTGTCCTGTAGGACGCATGCGCTGTCGATTACTGTTCCCACCAATAAGATGCAAGGGATGAATCCTGGAGATAAACAGTTTTAAACGGTTACTGTCTACAAAGTTCGGTATGTGTAGGCGTTGAAAACTAGAATTTTTGTACAAAACACCATATCTCGTAGCCTTTCTGACAACCATTTTATGTTGGTTGAAAAATGCGCCAATTTTGCAATTATATAGATTGTATGTTGAAAATACATTGTTGAAGAGGGCAAGAAAAATATATAGAAAAAGTGTGGGTTTATGCGATCGATCTCATGTAAAGGAAAAATGCTTTAGATAAAGAAAGACAGTGAAGAAGTTTACGTCTCTCTTGGTAAAGAAGTCTTTCTTTGATGCACGAATGCTTTGTTTCATTTTCATTTTATATTAAAGTTTAGAGATTACATTTCACTGCACAACAATAAACAGTATCAAGTATCACTAACCTAAACCTCTTATCATGACATCCTGCACTCCTGTAGCGAATGGACCGTCTTCTTCTGTAACTGCCCTAGGGTCAAATGGCAACACCAAACCGTAACGTTATGGACACAATGCAATTTTTCTAATGAAAGCAAACATATAGAGATAGATGTATATGATAGACGAAATAAGCTTTTTACCTTAACGTTGCCGTTAGTAAAGGGATCTGTGTGATAAACATCCCCATACTCATGATAAACAGGATGCCAAGGAACAGGGGCTTCAGCGGACAGTCAACAGCACACATCCCTGGTGTCGCCAACCCTCCATCTACCACACATGTGCAATTGTCGTAAACCTGACATAATTGTAAAAAAAAAAAGGATCAGATATAAAGAAGAAAATGTAGAAATGCAGAGACTCGTTATCTAATACATTGTGACATACTAAGTATACATACAAGTACCTGTATGTATCTCACGTTAATGTGATGCAGTATGGCGGCCATGTTTGACGGTTAAATCTAGAAGTTGCTTGGTACTAGCATATCAGAAGTTGGAACTACGACTTCATAGTCAAGAAATTTGTCATGTAGTATCACATCCTGGCACCCATCCATATACACATGAGTTCTGTATCTGTATCTGTATAGCCGGTATAACCGCCTTTCGGCGTAACACACCAGCTGAGTTTAGACGCTAATTTAGATGCCGTACATACTACGACCTGAGAATTGTTGATTGTTGTGAGATTCTGACATCCTGCCAGACACGGCGAGAAGTACACCACATCGTCACTACCGCAAACCGGCTGGTACTGGTCACGCGAGCAGTCACACTGTGCGTTGCACCCGGTCAGCATGCGCAAAGACACTGGCGCGGGCGCATTCGAACTGAAACATTACAAGATTGATTGCATCTAGGTGACGGGAGGGGGGGGGGTACAAATTTTAAAGAATCTAGTAAATGCATAAATTTATTAGACAAGGTCGCGATGTTCTGTCACGTTTGGGACATGTCGACGGAATTCTAATTTTTTTTTTCTTCATCACTGGTTGCAATCGACACAACGGAATTATTCTCACCTATTGTGGTAACCAATATTGACTCCGGCCATGGATACATCCGCACAGTTGATGAGAAACAACAGTAATGAAGCCATCGTCATCAAGGTGAGAAGAGTGCACATCTTCATGATGCCACGGACTTGGAGTTCAAACCTCTTCACAAGGTATCCGCCTAAAAGAGTTCCAATGGTAGCGCCTGGGATGCTCACAACGCCTAAACCAAGCACAAAAGGAAGCTTTGAGTTTGTATCAATTTACATTTGCTGTGCGCACCTGGATGAGTTTTATTTTTTTCCTTAACGCAACGATGAAGGTCTTTGCAAACGTACGATCCATCAGATTCAGGTACACGTGTACATGGAATTTTACATGACGTCACAGCCGCCATATTGGTTGGTTAACCTGCAACAGTCAGACTTAGAAAATATGCTTGAATGTATATTATTAATCTCACAGTTCTGTGACTGACAAAGCAAATCAAATGACAACCTCTGGGTTTACCCATCCGCAATGTATCCCACTAGTGAATCATAACTGTGTGTTATATGGAGGTTTATCAAGTTTATGTATTATCTACGGGGAAAATCATTCAAACTACATGTAATTGTTACGTATGCTTCAAAAGGCTTTGGCCTGTATTTTTAGCAATGAGTTGACAGGAGACTTACCCATCAGCATGGCTGCCTCCCCGGCTGATGTTCTGAACTGAGACTCGATGTACTTCGCTATAAACGTTGCGATCCCAGCAGCAATTCCTTTCTCAGACACGGTCGCCAAAGACAGAAACACAAACGTCGGATTCCGCATGACACGGGCGGATTTATCAACAACGCCATGCAGAGGACTTAGACCGACGCCATTTTGTTGAACAGGAGATGCAGTGGTTGATGGGAGATTTCCTGCGTCGCCATTTTTGTCTTGAAGGTTTGTGTAATCCCGTTGCATTTTTTTCAGTGGCATTTCGGGCGTGATCGTGTCTTCTTTACAGCCTATAGAAGGACAATATTTATTCCACGCAGTGAAAATATATCTTTAAGTTGACGTTTGCCTTAAAGTCAGAAATCGTTACAGCAGAAAATCAAGTTTTGATTTAAGTCGAAAAAAAAAGTAAATTACATATCATGTGAAGCAATTTAGTTACATGCACCTTCCACTTCACTCTCAAGTCTTTTCGGTAGGCCCAAAATAAAGATGGCTGCCACGACCGCCAATGTGCCGGTAAGGATGAACCCTATCCACCATGACCCTATCCACTCAGGGTGTTTTGGGTCGATGTTGGTACTGATGAAAAAAGAAAATTCATTTCAACAAAGTGTGAGATCAAGACCTTATATTCTATATTTTGAAGCCTCAATGCAATGATGTATTTTCTGGTAAAATATTGCTTTATTGTGTTGTATTGATATGTATTGTATTAAATAACAAAATGTTAAAATGCTTACGGAAATGTACTGTCCGTAGGTATCTCCAGGAACACACTGGCTAGGAGGTAACCCACTGCCGGACCCATGATGGAGAAGGAGTAGAAAATACCTAGGGTGACAGAGAAAATTCTGTCATGTGAGCTGGTGAATTGGCGCACGAACATATACAACGGTCCTCCTAGTGAGATTCCTTGATATTGCAGAGAAACCGTTTTTTAAACATTCTCTGACATTTACATGGTATATGCTTTCATAAATTGTAGATGATAAGAAAATTTAATTCATGGCTAAGATACAACCAACTTTTGGAATCATACAAGTCACAGACTAACCGAGGTAGACCGAAGCCTTACCGAGGTATACCGAAGACTAGCCGAGGTATACCGAAGCCTTACCGAGGTATACCGAAGACTGGTTGGGTGGGCTGTTCTCGTTGATGTAGGTCACCCCCAGGCTGAAGAGTGCGCATGCGCCGGTCCCCACAAGAAGCTTCCCCAAAACGAGGACGTACATGTAGCCCTTCATTCCAAGACCTGCACCGCTTGTAGTATTTCCACATCCTGTCTGTGTCCTGAAATGAGAATATTGCATAATGTATTACTTTTGGAAAATGTTCATATTGCTCTGTTTCAAAATTTAAAGGTCCAAGCAGATGTTATGATAAAAATGTAATCTTGCCTGACTGCCCAGTTTTTCTGACACGTAACTACCACAAAAAATTAAAAATTATTCACTTTTTCATTAAAAAAATTAAAAAATGAAAATACCTCTTATGAAAATGATGATAGATATGAAAATAACAACGAGGAAAATATCTTACCAAGAATCAAAATCGGCAGAACTGAAGTTCGAGGCGTGACGTCGACATAACTCGTGAGAAGTCGTCGGCTGTACTCGGTAAGGTTCGGCGACGAAGTGCGGAAGGGCGAAGACGAAGGCTCCCACGGCAAGCACGAGCATACCGCAGCCGAGCCAGCGGGGTTTGTTGTTAGCACCGAGATAACTGATCTATAACAACAACAGTGAAAATAAGAAGCTTTCATTACCTTCGCCAAGAATTGGAGAAGGTTATGTTTTCCTGGCCGTGTGTCTGTCTGTCTGTCTGTCAACAGCATAACTCGAGAAAGCTTAGATGGATTATCTTGTTTCTTTTGCTTTTTAATCTCTAAATACAAGAATAAAACATTATCTAAATGATATACAAGCAGATATTCGAAGGCTAACTCGTTTCACTGTCTGACCCAAATAACAAAGGAACTGAGCAACAATTAATTATATTAATGATTACCTACCGGCAGAGATGATAGGAAGTTTGCCACGTCATTTGCTATGAGAACGGCGCCCATGTCTGTACTGGTCAGGTGAAACCGCCGCTCCAGGGTGGTCACTACGCTTCTGGCAAGTCCATTTACTATAGATATAGGAATAAATAGTAATAAGAAAACGTCCGGATCGAAGCCGGAGCAACGCCAATCAATTCGGATCCCTCTGGACAATTCTATCCTAGTGGGAAATGGTCTTACTGGTAGGAGGCGCAGGAATACATTTGAATGAGAAACCGTGTTAGGCGACGTACGTGTTATGTAGCATATCATTTTTATTACACAACCTGTATTAAACCTACCCGTCATAGCTTGTGTAAAAATCGCACAGCACAGAAAAGCCAGGGCTGCCTTTGGATTATTTAACACCTGATGGGTACAACAAAAACATAATGCATATATGAGGTAGCAGACATAACCGAGCACATGGCAATGATGTAATCAGCATTGCTATATAATTCAATTAAAATGATAACGTGTGTATTATTTGGGTATATGGCAATCAATCTTAAGAAATGCATAACGAATCAGATTGTTCATTTAGGAAAGATGCAAACCATTGGCCGAGAGGCTGGGTTGCTATAAGTATACCATAAGCCAACGGTATTCTTGACAGCTGGCTTTGGTTTAGTTTGTTGGGAAAAATTATCAGTATTGCTTCGGTGTAAAAAGAAAGAAATCCGATATTTTAGACTTTCAAGAAGTATGCAAGCCTCGGCTTCCTGAAATCCACTGTATGCCGACATCTATCTACTAAGTAATTCCTGATAGTTCAGACATCTTTCACACCCTGTCATTTTCCCTGACAATCCAACCACCCACGTTTTGTCAACCTACTTTGCCTGGACACAAACACACAGCTCAGCCAAAGCAATACAGTGACAACAAAAATAGTAGAATAATAAAAAGATCGTTAATATTGACACACGAATTCGATACGTATTTGATTAGTTAGTTGAGTTGAGTTGAGTTGTAAACGTAAACAAACCTGTAGGGGTGCAGGATTCCACGATCCCCAACCATAGTCGCCTTGCTGTTTGTTGCCTTCTTCTTCTTGCCCAATACAGTCTTGTTGATCACTGTCTTTCTCCATGTTGACTCAGGATTGTCTCATAACGTTGTATACAGAAAAATGTGACAGCCTCAGTGACAAGAATGTGGAGACTTGCATTATCCTGTCGGATCAATGGAGGATATGACGCCAAATGCTGTACTTTGTCAACACTTGAACATTAATGTAATAATTGAGCTAAATTGATCTACGTATTAAACAACGAACACAATTACATGAAGCACCAGTATACAAGAATATTCTTGTCATTCAAAGCTAGACATCACAGAACGTACCTGTATATGGCGAGCTAAATACGTGTACACAGAAAGACTGGCCGGGGGGGATTCAATAATTATTCCACGGCTGGATCCACGACACAGTCTGTTGTAAAATGATACGGTGGGGGAGATTCAATAATTATGGATATTGGGGTTTTAGGGTTGCCATTTAATCTTTGGTTTAAGCAATCAAGGGAATGTGAAACTACGATGAAAGTAGTCTTTATCTGATTTTATATTAAATTGCATTAAATATCAATAAAAAAGGTAAGAGTTAGGGAAAAAGTCACCTTCCGTGCCCTTATGTTCGTGCAGGACGTGTGTACGCCTGCGGTAACGTGTTTTCTTGTCAGACTGCATTCTTGGCGAGTACTATTCAGAGCGGCCCTGGTGAGCCTCATGCAACCTTTTCTTAGATGGCATAATTAGTACCATGCTTAATTACAGGAACGTCACATTACATGACGACCTTTATATATAATAAGTTCAGTGATTTACATGTACAGTGCTGTTAAAAACGCCAACATGTTACTCCTGATACTATAACCCATCGATGGGATTCAAATTATACTTATTAGGACCTCAAAAAACGGCATCTATATCAGCACAAACCAGCACTCTTTTATTGTCATAAAAAAGACCCCCCTCTCTGTCTGAAATGGTTTTTCCCATCCTTCACCTGGTTCCTGAGTCATGCTTTGTTGTTAACGTAGTTATATCCCAGTCAAGTCAAGTCTTGTTCCTAACAGGTATGATTTCAATATTATCTTTGTACTACCATAATGTCTTTGGTGCCCTATTCTAGTAGTTTAATGTTTGATAAAAAGCACCCCAAATTCGTGTTATCGTACATGTAGGCAGTCTTTTTAATGTAACGATGTATACAACCTTAATCAACATTGATTTTGAATAAACTACTGTTACGTTTTGTCTGTTAGCACATCTAGACCCCTTCTTATTGACTGCAATACATGTGTTTGCAACAGCCCGATGACATAGCATAATGGTAGTCGATTGAAAATTTTATGCATTGAGATGACCAACAACAATACCAATGTGAAGATATGGTTTTAAAAGACATTTAATATGGATATTATAAGTCTTTCACAGCAGAACGGAAAGTTAAAAGATGACTCAACTTCCGGAGGCATACCTGTTATTGTTCAGGATGCGCTGTCATATAGCTAAGGTCATCGACGTCAATATATAATATACAAAACACACCAATGATTGATAAAAAAAGTGTAGAGACTGTTGAATACCAGTACAAAAAGGAGGTTCACAACTTCACATACGACTGCATATGCTCAGTGTCACGGATGAATGAATAGCAGTCGTTTATTATCATGAAACTGGTGTTGAATATGCATAAGGGACAAGACACCGAAACGTAAACAAAACACGTCAGACCTTGCTCTATATACATGTGTCACGCAAGTCTTCTGTTTACGTTACTGGGGGCATTCAACTTTGATATATTGCCCACAAGGCATTATACTGCGGATCCACTGTTCGTCACCATTGACTGTTTTACAATATAGCATGGTTATTAGTGGTTCGAAAATGATAGATTGGTTACATGTCCGTCAAATATTTTAATTTTTATGTTACTGTTTTGCAACTATACGTTTTTATGGAAGTAGGCGGGGCCACAGTGGATCAGGCTATTGATCACTCAATAAAAGTGTCTAATAGTATTCCTTAGTGATGTGCGATTCTGTGGCACCTGTACAGTACCCCACCACCATGGCACTCCCGACGATATACGTCATCACAGTGGCGGTTACAGCTGTGACCTTGGGGATCATCTGTCTTCTCGTTGCCCCTCGGCTTCTCCGACGATTTGTCCCGAAGTATGCCGAGCTGCCGATCAGCACGCGAGTGGAGTTCGACACGAGGTATGATCAACGATCAATCATGGGATATATGTTTAGTGAACGGAAGTGGTTTATTCTTATGCAGGCACTACTAAACACGCGTGCTCAGACGATATTTGGCTGATTTACTGTACCTAGACTTTGACCTTGGATTCTCTGCTTATCTTTCAATTTTCATCTCATGTTTTTTTTTCCTTCAGAGTGATGTCTGTCTGTCACTCCACTGTTGTTGGTCTACTGTCCATATTTGCCGCCCTTGACGTAGACTCTACCAAACCAGATATTATAAGGTATGCATTTTAAAACTATTTATGTGGACAACGTTGTGGATGGATAACAGTTCCACGTGCGCATGTGCGAGTAGTCAAATGTGAAGTTTCTTTGCCAAGTACAAGTGACTGTAACCTTTTATTAATACGACGGTAGTATGAATGTCTGTGTTGTCAATGAAAACACACTGGACAACGTCAAAATTTGGTGAATAGCAGCAACGATCAACTGACTTTGGAGTTCGCACACATTCGCAAACAGAACACCGTATTATATATATAACGATCACTTCTTTGCTGGTATCTCTTTTTGTTTGTTTTAGATATGATTCGTTTCTGGTGAAACTCAACTGCGCCATTGTTGTGGGATACATGGTAATTGGTAAGTAAATGTATTTGGAGTCTCCATTTTGGACAGTCGCGCAATGCATATGGATGATGGAAATATCACAGTGCATTCATTTTGTAGGCACAATCTGATCAAAATTTTAGAATTGTCCCGTGGTATAATGTACTTGTGATCATACGTATTTGCGTTTTTTTCTAATCTCTATGTAAATCATAAGTCTGGACAAATATTACTGTAAATCTTCAAATATTTGAGGTGCTTTTCTTTTCGTGGTGCCTCACCACCACTAAAGCATCGATCACACTGTAATTATGTGTTTTTGTGCTGTGTACAGTGTCGTTTTGACAAAGAAAATAAAACACCTTTTCCGACCGCGAAGTTAAATCCGGGTGAAAATAAATGATTTTACGGTACCTCCTTGTCATGCAGACACGCTGCTGCTGTGCCTCTTTTGGAAGCACAAGGGAAGTGTGCTGTTCTTATTCCACCACATCGTGGCCACCTGGGTCCTGCTGACCTTTCTGGTAAGTATGCTGGATTCTTAAACACGTTAGAAGTTTCCACAAAATAGGGTAAGATCATTGTACGAATCAAGATGGGAACGAGTGCAAACATATTGGGGTGGGGCCACTGAAAAAGATTAACTCCATAAATGGTTGTCCTCTGTGTAATAAATTTTATTTCCTCTGTAATAAATTCAGTAAAAGTATCTTAACAAAAGGAAGGAAAAGTGTCAAGAACTAACTACTCGGTCTTGAATGCCATTATATGTCATAATTCCCGTCCTACCAGGTCTACAACAATCTGCCGTACTTTGCCAACTCTCTGCTCATTATGGAAGTGGCGAATCCTTTTATGCATTTGAGGTAAGACCATGTCCATATATAGTATGTAAGGAACAATACATAAAAGCCTTGTTGATATTGATATCTGCGTTACAATTTTGAGCTCTTTTATCCATACAACTCAAATACATCAAAGCAGACTTTGAGCAAACCTTTGCAGACATTTTAGCAGTTTTTTTGTTGATGTAGGCTAAATATGAACGAATGTCCTCTTTTTCTAAAGGTATTTGTCAAAAGATGTTAAAATAAAAGTATGTTTAAATTTTCAAAGTACCCGATGGAAACTTTAAGACACGCCTCTCAATGTTGGTTGACAGCAGAAAGGGACTGCAAGAGTGTAAATTACGGTAATAATAATACATAACCATATTATTTTCAGATGGATGATGGGGAGACTGGAGACCCCGAAGACTTCTCTGATATACGCCGTGAACCAGTTAACCGTGACGGTTTTGTTCTTTCTGTTCCGGCTTGCCAACGCCGTTTTGTACTGGAAGTACACTTACGTCATTCTGCAAAAGGAAGAGTATTATGGGCTAGAGCTCACCACCATATTTGGGCATCTACTTGGTGGGGTGATCTTTCACCTGATGAACGTTTACTGGTTTTGGAAGATCTGGAAAGGAACAGTCAAGATGGCAAAACACTTTCTGGCCGTCCAAAAGAAGTTGACTTAGCGATCCTTTGAATTTTATTCCTTCTAAAAATGAGTTAATTCGTTTGATTTTTCACATCCAGTTTTAAATTTTTATGAGGTGAGAGAAACAAGAGGAATGTTGATTTTAGTTCTATCTTACTGTGTATATACAATTTAGGAAATAAATATGTTAAATGTTATGTATGATTAAGGATGCTTTTCAAAAGGTACGTTTATTCTATTGAAGTTTGTTTAAATATGCAACAAGGTGTCGTATTCGTGTTTTTAGGAAATGTTATGAACAAAAGGTATGACTTTGCCTTGCGATTCTTTCAATGGTCCTACTTCTCCCATGAAAAACAACACATAGCGCCATGGCGTAAGACAACACAAGAGAAATGTTTTAATTATCGAATGACTCTAAGGAACGGATTTACACAATGTACATTATTTCAAGAAGTATCGTGGTGTTACTTTGATGTTACTCGTGATGGTACTTTTGTCGGTCAGAAGCGGTGATGCGGTTCAACGGAGTATTTTACACTGTACCATTGGTAGACCCTTCCGCCTTTGCCTCATTGTTAAACAGTAAAACGAGTAGGTATATCAGACATGATGCAGTTTTGTACGCCACACACACAGACACCATGTTGATGCTCAGGGATCTATTTCTGTACAAGAGACACGAGCCGGCATTTTGGCATGACGTGTCCCACAGCACGCATGCGTAGTCGATGATACCGCCAACCAACAAGATGCACGGAATGTATCCTATGTAGAAACACCAAAATAAAAAAATATTTTAAAGTCAATATAATAAAGATTTTAAAGCAATTCGTTGTCTATCCAGTTGATTTTTCCATGACGATTTCGTGCCAGATATATTGGCAGCCCTGAATCGCCAACATTGTAACTACCAGTAACTACTAAATCTTCGAAATTCTTTCTCAATCACATTATAGCTGCGCTACTTGAACCGTTACTAAGAAAGGCTTTGTAACTAACAATATAAATCTCATTAACGACAAAGATGTAGTGAAGATGAAACCAAGGAGGTGAAACCTACAACGCAAATGTACTTGCCTAGGTATGCATGGACAGACGAAAGTCCGTTATTTGTCACAAATAAAGTCACACCTACCAAGTCCTCGGACAAAGACCTCCTGTATTCCCGTGGCAAATGGGCCCTCTTCCGTAGTGACGCTCCTGGATGCAAAAAAAGGTGTACTATTGATACCAAGCAAATATCGCTGATTATGGCTAATGTTGCGATCTCATGATACATCGTCATTCTTTTGATTGCTGGCCAACTGATCATGATAATGTTAGCATACGTAAATACATGTACATTCAAATATCATGCTTTTTATATCACTGCTACTGTTCTGATACCGTTTTAATGCAATTTTTGGTGAAATACACTTCTCAGTAGTTGTTGCTCACAAGATTGGTACTCCATACAAACAAGTAGAAGGAAGTCAGAAAGATGGCATGTAATAATATATTTTGATATGCATAATACCTACCTTAATGTACCAGTCAGTAGTGGAATCAAAGTGATGAAACAGCCCATACTCATGAAGAAAAGGAGACCATAGAACAAGGGTCTCAAGGGACAATCCGTGGAACATTTTCCCGGCACCGCCGTCCCTACACGTGCAGATGTGCTGATGCTGTTACTAGTGCATTGACATCCCTCATAGACCTAGACAAAGGAATAGTTCTGCATTTTAGTGAAAGAAACTTTATTGTCATGAGAGTATAGATTATAGTCTATAATCGAATATAGAGTGGCGTTTCTCAGCGATAGGCTATTGAAATGAATACCGGGCTTCGAATTAAATATCCATTGTGAATAAAAGCTAGTATATCATATCTTTACAGAAGTAAATGCAAAATTCGCGTTTAAAACAATAATAATATGAATAATTTGACGTAAGAACCTGGGAGCCGTTAGCTGTTGTCAGCATGTCACACCCGGCGTGGCAGGGAGAGAAGTATACGACATTATCACTGCCGCAAACCGGGCTGTACGCGTCACGTGAGCAGTGACAGACTGCGTTACACATGCTGGTCAGTGTGTCCTGTGTCCCCACGAAAGAACTACATAACAACATGGAGCATACCATTGATATAGAGCCGGTCTATGCCTATATGTGGGTGTTTTCACTCACGTGACTATGACGTAAGTACTGTCCGCCATGTTTGACGGTTACACCTGGCAACTTCTTTCATGTATAATATAATGCCAAACCTGTACGACTGACCCATAAGGATCACTTGGCCAACACAAAAGCGCCACCTGTTATCACATCTTAGTAGTCCCTTAGTCAATTTCCCAATCGACGCAAACATTGCAAATTCTGTCTTCTGTGACCACCTCATGACACATATATTCATCGGATTTTATAGATGAAGGGATTTTGTAGTGAAGAGTTTATATGCATGTACTTACAGTCTCGTGCAAATACATTATGCTTCTGCAAATATGTATCTACAAGTACTTGATTATGTTGGACTCTTTAAGGTTTGTCATATGACTCTACAATTTCATTCAATAAATTAAAAAAAAACAATTATAATTTAAAACGCAATCTTTCGCGCATACCTATTGCTATGACCTGTGGTGACGCCGGCGAAGGTGACGTCACTACAGGTGATGAGGAACGCCAGCGACGCCATGACAGTGAGTGACGTCACCACGAAACAGAACTTGGCGATACCCCGGATGTCCAGCTGTAGCCTCTTCACCAGATACCCGCCTAGTAAGGTCCCGACTGTGGCCGCCGGTACTGTCACCAATCCTATGGAATATGGTGGACAAAAATTCAAAATTTTGAAGAGAAATAAATAATAAATTTTGTAAGTAATAAAAACATAAAGTATTTCTCAACGTTTGCTCCGAATGTATATAATGTTTCCTTACTAGTATTCAGAAAACAAGAGCTTCTTTCCAATATCGCTTGGTAACATTATATCTAATTATGTTTTCCATTGAGTCCATATACTACTAGTATATGCCATACATATGCATGTAAAGTAAAAAGAGCGTAATGAATTATATGGCACGTTACTTACTGTCTTCGAATCTTCTGAAACTTTAGTTTAGTAGTATTACATACAGCTCGACTGGTAATCACCTCCAACTAAAAAATAAACATTCTATGAAATCTGAGAGAATTTGAGCTTGTCGTACCTACGATAAAAGACGCCTCTGCAGCAGTCGTTCTGAACTGGGATTCCACGTACTTCGGAGTAAAGGTGACGATTCCTGAGACCATCCCTTTCTCTGTGACCGTTGCTAACGACAGCAGAATAAGAGCCGGGTTCTTCATCAAACTAACGAACTTCTGCCAGAAATCTCTGAGGAACTGTAGATGCTGTCGTTTGTCGTTTGCAGACTCTGGTGACGTAGCTGTTGGAGGCGTTGCCGTGGTTTGGGAACGAGATGGTGACGATGGCGTTGTTACTGTGGCAACGGCGGGGCTCTCGTTCCCATAATCATTCTTGGTACAGTGCGCATCGGCAGCGTTTGTTGAATTTGCATTTTCTATAGTAAATAAAGGTTTCTTTTAGTTGGAGAGTGATTATATCGAAATAGGATTGCTTTTAACTAAATGTTTAAGAAATGTGCAGTACAAAACAGCAAGACACGACACGACGAACATTTCATACAACATGCAATGGACAGTCAGATACATAAACCCACAGTTCAGCCACCGTGAAGACAATACTTCCCGAATACTAATACCCGAAAGTAATAATGTCACTTACCCTCGGACGGTACAGAAAGTTTTCTAGGAAACCCGAACAGAAAAACAGCTGACACCGCAGCCATGGCTCCGGACAGTAGAAACCCGACCCACCATGCACCCACCCACTGTGGGCTGTCAGGAGACAGGTCTGTGCTGGAAGGGAACGGAAACACGGCGTTTATTCTGAAGTAAATTATTGGCCAATACAATGGAAATACACGTTTTATCCCACATCTCTGATCGCATACTCATAGAAACCCTTTACCTATCAATGTTAAAAGAGGTACCACCCGCAACATAACGAAATCAATGGCCATGATTTAAAATTTTGTGGACATTAAAGGATTTCTACATGAAATTTATATCTATGCCCCCCTCCCTCACTGCCTCTTGTTTAATCCCCGGTAAATGAAACCCCTCTTACAGCTCCCCCCCTCAAACTTTCTGAACGCCCCTAATATAAATCCAAAGCCATTGTTGATTACCTGTAGTCCAGGTCTCCTGGTATGTTCAGAAACACACTGCTGAGTAAATACCCAACGCCTGGACCAACGATGGAAAAAGCGTAGAAAATACCTACAAACATACACCATTATTGAAATAAATAGCATTATACATATAGTTAACAATTCATATGTAATATGTTGGTGTGGTACGTTGTTTTCAAACTACACACACACAAACTGTCATACCATTCAAGCTTAAATCAAGTGCAATTTAACTGAATGTAGTTTAAAACGTGCATTGAATGCTTAATTAAATTAAGCTCAAATATCAATTAAAATGTTTCCAACGTTTCAAGGAAAGTCACATACCCAGGTAGATGGATGTCTGCGTGGCCAGGCTGTTCTCGTTGATGTACGTCACCCCCAGACTGAAGAGCGTGCACGCCCCCGTCCCGACTAAGAACTTCCCCAGGATGAGGACGTACTTGTAACCCGTCAGGGAGGGAACACCGTCTGATGATTGGCTCGTACATCCAGCTGTGTCACTGAGATAGATTCCGATGTTATAATCTTATTAATGCATGTTTATATAACTTAAATTACCTGTGTATATTAGGAATGTGAACAACATCATCATTACCATCATCATCACCATCGCCATACATCATTATATAAACATAAACATAACCATTATCATTTTTAGCTGTAATTATCATCACCATTTTCATCACCTTATCATCACTATCGTCATTATCATCATCGTGATTATCAATACTAGCAACATCATCATCATCAATATCATTATCACCATTATCAACATCATCATCATCATCATCAACATCAACCTTATCATCAACACCATCATTATATTATCAGCATTATGTTACCTCGAAGTCTGGTTTTCCACAGTTGTGTTGACACAGAAGCCGTCTCCTTCTATGACAGACATTTGGCGAGGGTCTGCAACGAACTGTGGGAGGGCGAAGATGACGGCACCGAGGGCCATCACCACCATCCCGCAGCCCAGCCAGCGGGGCTTGTTCTTAGCGCAGAGGTAACCAATCTGGAATATATAAAGCATGTCTGATTTCTTGTCTGCTTGGATGATTGCCAAAAATTTATATTTCGTTATTTCATTTTCTTTATTAACTTAATAATCATTTATACAAAAATACACAGTAATTCTGCTTCTTTAGATTTTATGGAGGGACGCGATTTTAGGTCAACACATTAGGAGTCAGATTTAACACAGCGAAACTTGTAATGGTTGTTTGCCTCCTGTGCTACCCATAGTGCCCCGCGTCTCCCAGCATGCACTGGGATATGCGGGAGGGTCATTGAACTGTGGGGTTATTTGGTGCACTGCATTGAAGAGTATGAACGTTCTTTACCGGTATGGCAGCTAGCAGGTTTGCCACGTCGTTTGCCACAAGGACGGAGCCCAAATCTGTACTGCTCAGGCCGAACCGCCGCTCCAAAGTCGTCACCACACTTCGGGCAAACCCGTTCACTGGCCATGGGACAGATTTGCAAAAGTCATTCAACACCCGTAATGACTGAATGTATATATATATATATATATATATATATATATATATATATATATATATATATATATATATATATATATATATTTAGAGGATTACTAAAATGAAATACCAACTTTTATATGTCTAAAAAGTCGAGAAATGATACCGGATATTATCGGTTGACTAAACATTTGGGTGAGTCAGTCCGACTTCCGCACAACGTCGGAAACCCCGCCTGTTAAAGTATAATTTACGCACTAAATCTATTATCAGTGAAGTTCATATAGTATAGAGTGCAGATTCTTTGCTCGTTTCGTCCTGTTTATTCTCTAAATTTATTTACAGGTTAAAGATCTTGTTAGGTAACAGCAAACTGAGACATCCCAGCATGCTGAAGAGAGTATTAAATTTTAACTTTTGGTAAACAATACATTGGGAGAATGCCCAGAGGAGAGAAAATTAATGATGCGTGCAGACAATTGAAAAGGACATCAGATCTACGACGGACAATCGGGGGCATTTGAGGGCAGTCTGTTTCTGCCACAAGGCTAGTCGTAGATTCTTATAATTGGACGGTTGGTTCTGCTATAGACTCACTGAAAATCGTAAAAGACGTACTAAAAAAATAACGCTTCAATTACTTACCTAGCATTGCTTGGGCAAAAATTGCACAGCACAGAAACGCCAACGCTGCTTTCACGTTGTTCAAAACCTATAGGAACAAAAACACTGGTTACAAACATATCATTAGATGACCTTGTAACGCAACACAAAACATCTCCTGTATATTAAGTAAGAGCAAATGGTCTTGTCTGTTTAAAACTTTTCTATTTTACGTCGTCGTTTTACAGCTTGGGTGCAAATCTGTTTTCAAGTCGCTAGTAGCAAAAGACCATTTGGTCTGAAATTGTAAAACACATACATACAAGTCTCTAGATAATGCCCTTATTGACCTAATTCTGTGGCAAAATTTCATTGGGGGCATCTCGGTTCTCGAGCCGAGGACCTAGCATGTGGAGACCCTGGAAGCAGTCTAGTACCTAGGTTCTACCCAGGGAGGGCTGTGGGGTGGGGGTCATTAACCTCCGGCCGAGAGCTTTGTATACACAGGCTACGTTGGCCCTAAGCCAGGGAGCTGGCCTGTGTAGGCCCTGGAAATAGTCTGGCGTCTAGGCTAGACTTGTGTGGGAACAACAAGTGCTGTACATACCTGTAGAGTGCCGGGAGCAAATGTCCCCCAACCGTACCGTGTATCCAGGCTATCCTTGTCGTCGGCATTGTTCGTTTGCCTCATTTTTTCTATCAAACTTTACACTGGTAGCAGTCCTTGCTTTCTCGAGTACCGACGTTTTGTGTTGGTTTATACTTGACTCATCTTTGTCACCTCTGTCCTCGACACGTCACTGTGTATGCTGACGTCACCGTGCTCTTTCTTCTTTCGTGCCCGGCGTCACGTAGTGATAAAATAGCTTGCTCGACGAGTCTGTGAGTTCTAAAGAACATTTCGGCAGCAGTAATCGGCCGATATGCAATGTCCCCTCGACCACTGCGCGATTTTAGGAATCTTCCGATGCTCCCAGGTTTATCGCACCTCTGGCGATTTTGAAATTCGTCGATCTTCTGGCGAGCAACAAATCTTGGCGAAGGTAAATGAGAGATCTGATCCCTGAAAACAGAAACTTCTTGCTATATGGTAGACTTACTCGTACACAAACTTCAAGTTGATGTTTATGTTACACATATAGTGTATGACGATGCGCTTAAAATCTGATCTTGGCGCATGGCCTTGATGTGCTAGGTGTGTTTAGGATGAATATCCTTTTTTTTACTAAATATCCCTTTAGTGATGTATCTCAACTGCCTGCATAGGTCTCCATGCAGAGTATACTACAGTTTCTATGACCTAGACAGTTTAGGTAATAATTACATTGTATATACATTATTATGATATTGTTTAAAGTACATGTAATTGCTTGTTTTGGATGACTGACACGTTTCGTGTTGTCACGTGTTTTATGGCCAAGTAGCGATTGGTGCATGGAGGGTGATTTTGACAATTAATTGATAGGCTTGTTCATATGTTTACCAGCTTTCATATACTGTTTCCATGCATTCTAGTTGTGCAACGCACGTACAGTCGTCACTGTTGTTTTTCGTATCTCTCTCTTTGTCAGTCTGTCTCAAAAGACTGCTATAAGCTTTCCCTTAACAGACACCACCAGCGCTTGGGGAAATGTAGGAGCCCCGGTAAGCTAGGATGGCAACCAGGTCGGCAGGTTTGTAAGCGTGTTACACAGCACAGTCGACACAGGAAACACGCTATGATGGCGGTCTCAGGGTTCCATGGGGCTCACTATTTTTCATGGTCTCCATATTGGTATAAGGTCCATTGCCGCTCATATATATACGATTAACTCTATTAGGGCACGAAATATTTTAACAATAATATATTTAAGATCTTTTGATTTTTATGAAGGACAGATTTTGGGAAGATGCCGACTTTGCCAATTTCGTATGGAGCGTCTGTCGAAACGTGTGAGCGCCGATCTCACATGCAGGCCAATTGGAGCTTCTCATAAATTAATAAAAGGTTCAAACAAACAGATAAAACAATTGAATTCACTGGGATGTCATTTTATTATCCATGCACATTCAAACATATTTGTATTATTCAGGTAGTGGAAAACACCATTCCATTGGTATGCATGGCAAATCTTAAAAATATATTACATAACAGTCTCTTCTTCTTATACATTTTCTATCTTTGTTTGCAGATTTTTTTGTTTTATTTTATTTATTGAGCTTTACAGATTGAGCCGGCAACAGAAAGCTGGTTTCTCTACGGGGCCGGCTCCTCAACAGAGATACATAGCACCGAGACAAATAATACATCAAGATACATCTAAATATCAGAACTAAAAATATACAATATACAAACAACAATAAAGGCAGTAAGGTATGGCTAAGTGGTTAGGCAGGCATGACATCTACAAATGGAGGACCAGGTGCATATGTTATCGGTGGAATATGTGGAGTGTACCCGGGATATGTAATAAGTGACTAACAATTTCCTGACAGATGAAATGCTAAGATTTGAGTACAAATGTTGACGGATTGTTATAATTACAGGTAAAGTGTTCCAGATGAGTACTACACGGCTAAAATATGAAAAGGTAAATGTTTCAGTTTTACAAGGGCATTTAGACGATACATATTTTACTGTACTTCGTAGACCTGTCAACAGACTGCTTGATGACGTGAAGATGTACTTCCATCAGAACGTCAAGACGGCGCCATTCATGGTGAAATAGCTGCGGAAATACAGGCAGCGGACCAGGCACGGTGGAACGGAACTTTTAAGAACATCGATGACACACATGACGTCGACATTGATTTGGCAAGACAAGATAGAACTGCACATTTGCTAACAAAAACAGCTCTGTATTATTATTATTATTACTATGTGCAATAAAGATCGTCATTCATTCATTATCATTATATAGACCAATTTAATTTACTATTTACATTGTTATCAAAAATATTCTTATTACATAGTAAATTACAAAAATATTTAACCTTTATACACAGTTAGTCAGACACTCATTTCAACAACATGTACAGTTAATATGTACATCACAATTCAACTTAAAACTAAGTGAAAATAGATAATTTCAATTTGAAGATCGCAGGATTCATTCCACCGGAATGCACAATAAGAAAGCCAATAATGTACTTTATATGCTACATGAAGGGTTCAAAGGGATGAATGCTTTATACATTGAATATTCTATTTGGATTCAATTAGGTTATCATTACTTATAAAGAGGTCCACCGCGCCCTGTAAGTAACTTTAAGCGTCCCTAAAGACCAAATGCTTTCAGGAACACTCTGTGTGATTCATTCCAGTATTCCGAGGCCAACAGCTTCTCCTTCAACCTTCTTGAAGCTTCAAACTCCCTACTTCCATTCTTCAAAACAGCAATGACGCGCTTAGCCAGTGTCTTGACAGCCTCGTCGTCATCATCTGGGATCTCTACAATCAGCCGGTCGAACCCGGGATCTTGACTTTTCAAGAACCACGCAAGACCAGACTTGTGGGAAACCAGAACTGGGATTCCTGCAGCGATAGCCTCGAGACCGACAAGTCCGAATGGCTCTGCACGTGACGGCATTAGAACGACGTCAGCTTTCTGCATGTCTTCGCTCAGCTCTTTCTGCGTTGCGTACTTTAGTGGAGTGAAGTTGAATTTGTCGTTCTTCACATTGGCTTGGATGACAGCCTTGCTCTCCGGAAAATCTTCAGCACTGACACCACGGGCTCGCCACTTTGTGTTGGGCAGTTGCTCAATCACAATGTTCATGGTCTTTGCCGCAAGATCGTAGCCCTTCTCCCTCTCCACGCCCTTGACCCTGCCGATAGACAGAACTACTTTTGTCTCAGTGTCGACGTGTTTCACTTGCAGCTTGTTGAAGATGTCAGATGGCCTGGGCAAAAACTCGTGATGCGGTTTCAACTCTCTTGTCTGACTTTTGTAGTAGTCATAGATATGTGGGCCTATTGAGAATATCACATCGGCATGTAGTAGGTCCTCCAAAATGACAGCACTCTCCCTCTCGATCCTTAGCACCTTCGCATCGCCCTTGTACTTGCTGGTATCTTCCGGGATCACGTGAGTGACCTGGACGAGTTTGGAGCCAGGAAGGCGATTCTCCTTGATCTGTCTTGCTGCATGACTTGTGATATTAACGTGGCCGACGACAAAGTTTATGTCTGAGGGGAGTTCAGGATAACGGCTCATGTGGTCCCAGGTCAGCCAAGCTAGTGTGGGCGCTCTCTCGTCTCCCTCGAACGTTGTTGGTAAGATCAGCCGAACACCATCAGCAGCTGCATCCTCCTCATCCTCCTTTGTGGCACCCAAGACTAAACTGTAGACCACTGCTCCTTCAGAGACAAGAAAGCCTGCCATCTGGCGATTTATGGCGGAGACGCTGTATCCATCATTGATCAGAAGCACCACTGGTTTATTGCCCCCAGATCCTTTAAATGCAAAGTAAAGATAACTATTTATTTTCACCGCAGGAAAACAAATTGTGTTTGCTCTGTTTCCTGACTCAAACAAGGTCAATGGCCTTTTCAGCAGCATTTTATGGCCTTCACAGACGCTAACATTTTTCTTGTAGCAAGTAGATTGCAAAATTAAGTTACTTCAACTTCCATGTAAAAAAAATAAAGTTAGCAAAATGATGAACTACATGTAATTTGTTGGTCCTACCGTTCACATTGGAGTCAGGTGTGATGTCACCTGGCTCAGTTTCAGGTTGCGCTGTTTTGGTAGGAAGGGTTTCTGCAACCATGCAACGTAAACATACATGACATGTGTATAAAACAACAGTGTTTGCACAACTACTACAACTACAGTGTATACAAGTTTTGATACAATAACTCAGTAGTACGTACATGTACGTGCATTAGTTAAATATATATCAAATCTAAAAAAAAACATGAAGTACTCACTTGTCAAAATGTTGCATTCCTGGAATGGAAAATAGAAAACATGTCACATAGCAATCCTCTTGCTAACACTAGTAACAGCAATCATTTTGATTGCATCAAAATTTACCCATTAACCAAATATTATTTGGGCATTGAAATCCCACTCATTTACAAATTTTTTTTGGCAGGTTGAGCCAGACAACAATTTCTAAATAGAAGCTTTCTTCAATTAAAGAAAAGAAAAGTAAACTCTTACCACCCAGAAACTGAAGTCGCACACTGCTTGAGGTGGTTGCTGTTCCATATAAAGTATGGTCACCTCACCCGCAAAAGACGTTCCTTCGGGTCTTTTCAGAACCATTTGAACACTCTGGCCATCTTCTTCGCGCCACTGCTGGGCATTCACTTTCATCTGCTTTGTTTTTTCCTTGCCTTGCAGGGGGCTGACAATTATGTTAACACGAGAACCGTGATCAAGATCGAACATAGCTTTGTTGTGTCCACACATAGTAAAGCTTAAGCCTGATTGGTACTCGATTTTCTTTACGCTGCGGTCTCTACAGACAACATGGAACTCCACACAATCTTTATGGGGCTTGATATACCCTGCAAACCAACAATTTGAAGTTCTTGATGAAAGCGCAGCTATTATGGTCCCTATCGCTACATGTACACTGATCAATGCAAAAGGAACCCACAAAATTGCCAAACGACTGAATGTCTGCAGGGACACAGATATTTTGTTTGAGTATATCTTGTGCACTGTTGAGGCTGTGATGTCTGTCCAGCCTTCTCCATCATGATGCTTCAGCAGAAGACATTTCATGCCTTCAGAACCTGGGGGTCGCCACGTCTGCAACTCTATTGGCCCATTCAGCTGTGCACCGTGCAGATTTATGTCAACAGCTGGAGAGAACAGCACCTGACCAAGTAACTCACGTGGACAAGTGTCCTCACCCGGGGACCAGGGGTAGCCGGAGATCCAGTTGACACCTTCGGGGCCTCTTAAGATGCTGGGGATGTCTACTGTGGAGATGGTAACCATCGTGTCTTCCTGAAGGATGCCTCGTGCTGCAGAAAGTTTGGCAAAACCAGGAATCTCCACTTCTCCACCCACTGGTCCTACTGTAACCTCGGCTGTCCTCATGTACTTTAACTCATCTGGCACAGCTAGGAAAATAATGGTATTAAACTTAGAAAGCAAACAAAATCTAGACAGTCATAATTATATGATTGCCCTCGTCAGAAGAGTATGTCTTTGGAGAGGCTGCCTTTGGAGTGATGCATGTGAAGAAACCTCTTTACATGGAAGGCATGTGTTCCATAAACTCTACTTACCGGTATTCTAGTTTTGAAGGAAATAAAGATTTCATTAGATACATTAACAGCACTAAAGTTGTGAAATTAACATACAACTAGAAAGGTCGACATTTGCTCAGGAGCAAACATAGCTTCACCACATCTTCCATACCAAAAATGGACCTATCCCCCCTCCCACACAAATGGATTGTTCCCAAGTCACCCCTGTTCAAAACGTGAAGTGTTCCAACAGTCTATACCCCCATGCAGCAATGGAATCTTCCGAATTGCATTTTGCTGTTGAACACATAGATTGACGGGATCCATGCCACCCTGTATCTGCTTGAAGGCCACTGTGTATCTCCTCAAAGATACCCATGCCACCATGCATCTGCTTTGAGGTTGCAAATGTCATCAGATCGTTTGGTCCCCAAAGTTGAATCTGTTCAATGAATGGACCTATACCATTATTACGTCACAGTTTGTTTACCGCAATGAATGCCGGTCAATCGACGTTTATAATTTTTGTACAGGGGTGCGTAGCGCGGTGTGTGTTTGTGTAGCGTTAGACTTAATATAAGGCCTTTATACAGTACTACTTTCATCTAATGTCACGACTAAATCACCCATGCGGCATGTAATGCTGTGTCAACACATCTAGACGCAGCAAAAATCAGACATACCTGACTTTGAAAACTTTGAAATGATCTTTATTCTTTAACTGACCGTTCTAGAATGTTCTTTAGAACAGGTAAACAAACTGTGACGTAATAATGGTATTAAGGTCCATTAACGGCAGGGGTAGAATGAGAAGCACATAGAAAAATAATGTTTTTCATCAATATAGATATGGCATGAAGTGATATACATGCATAACTAAAATAAAGTTGGATACTGTTGGATACTAGTACCTTATCCAATAGTATACATTATTGGTAACGAAATGTATTTGCCTTATGCAAACTGTTGATTTTTGATATTAAAAAAATTACGCCCCACATTGCAAGAAAGTGTGACAAACCTATACTAAAAACATTTGAATGCAGGACAGGCTGAGACAGCTGTCAATATGCTACCGGTATAGCCCGAGCAGGTGTCCAATGTATTAATCCAATTAGTTCAGCACCCCATCAGCAAGAAGATTACAACCCCCAACGATCTCTAAAGGTGCACGCCTATTGGCTGTTGCTCTCTCCATTCCTTACTGATGAGTGACATGCTATACAGCTAAATTACAGTTACTATACTTCACTATTTGGCATTGAAGTCAAAAGACCCGAATCATACAATTTTAAAGGGGTGCATGCCAAAAATTATAACGAATTGTTGTTGGTAGATATATAAAGCATAACCTATACCAAATTTCAGATGATTTGGGTGTAATACCAGGTCTCCGGGACCCCAAATGTACAGATTTTGTCGGAAGATGGCAAAAAAAAAATTAAAAAATTTTAAAGCCTCAGTATCCAAAAAAATGAAGATAAAAACACCTAGGGGTGTTTGACCACTCTACCTTCATGTCAAATTTCATGTTAGGCCACACCGACTTAATTTTATGGATGACATCCGCGCGCGCATTGATTTTTGCCTGTCCTCACGTCTTCCGAGGGTCTGACCTGGCTCTAGGCCTTGGTAGTCCATAGTAGCTAGCGACAATAGGGAGCTGGTGGTAACTCTCGAGGACGGCACCCAGATTACCGAAGCTCCAAGACTCAAGAACTGACAGTGTACCGGCTTGTCGTATACGTCGCTATGCACTGCCGCGAATTCACAATACCAGCTTTGTATTCGTGCTGTTTAGTAGCATTTTAATTTTTTTGCCAGAATTTTTTTTCATTCGCTCGCGCGCACTAGTTTGGGGGTCTTCAGAGGATGTCATCCCTAAAATTAAGCCTGTGTGGCCTTATTTGGCCCAAAAATTAAGAAATTGAATCCATTTAATGAAATGGCAGGAGTAGGAGGAGAAGAAACACCAGAGAACACAATATGTTTCATCACACAGTGTGGTAATGCCATGTACGCAATTTTGTTCTTTGCCATCTTTTATGTTTTCACATATCGAATTGCCTGACTTAAGTACATGTACTAAGTACATGTATTTGGCTAATGTATGTTAGACACTTAACCTTTTATTCTGCAATTTATCTCCTACTATAAGTACTAAAGGCTTACCTGGAATGTCTTGCACAATAAGACGGAAGCTGATTCCAGCTGCCATCATGTCCTTCTCCACAACTCCAAGGTCATCTATTATATAGTCAGATGACAAGGCTAGCTTAGCCTTCAACTTCACAAATAGATATAATTTTCAGCAATTTTCATTATATGCAAACTTTATCATCAAGCAGGAAAACAGGTTACATACCAGTTGTGATGTATTCTCTCCGCATGATATCTTTCATCATTCCTGGACTTCCTTGTTTATTGGTACGTGCCGACCACACTCGTAGAAGCAACCTTACATCTGTCTCATCCAGCCGACCAAGAATTGTGTCCAACATCTGCTCCAAACCTACAAGAGGAACAGCCATGTACAGAAGAATCAATCATTACATTTTCAAAAACTAATTGATACAGGGCCCATTCCTAAGTACTTATTTGAAAGGCTCTGTTGTACATGTAGCATTAAGAGCGGCTTGACAGAGAAAGCAAAATTGCTGGACCTTATCAGAAAGATATGGTTAACTTCTCATGATAAAAATTGATGATTGCAAAATTATACAACAGACCATGACTGTGTGATTCCTACCATTTGCACTGGAGTCAGGTGTGATGTCAATCAGTCCAGTTTCAGGGTACCTTTCAGGACAGGGTTTTGATTTGTTTTCATCACCTTGGAAACATTAAAAAAACATAATGAATATCATGAGAGTACCAAATTGCATCAACACATTTCCTGTCCAAATAAGCAGCAGTTTCTCAAGCTACAGATACCAGGAGCATTAATCAGTGTTGTTATTGAAGTTCAATAATTACATGCTGTCTGAATATTTTCAGTCACTGAGTATGCAGAGGAATCAGATAGGGTAAACATCCAAAATCAATTCCACAAGTGGTGACATACCTGACAGGTCTTCAATGGAAACTGAAGCATCAGTCAACAATGTGCTTGAATCATCTACCTGGAAACAAAATAACTATTTATCATAAAAATTATATCTCTATATATCTTATAACTCTATATCATATAATCTATGACAATTTTTCATTCATATCATGTACATGTATATTGAAAACAAAGTCATGGTGAATATTATATATATATTAATACACACTGGAAAATATGCAGCAAATACTAGTACTTATTACACAAAATAATCTGATTATTCCTGTCACATTAAAACAGTACTAATACTGCCCATTAATATCTGTAATCCTAGAATGTCAGTGAGTAACATCCCAAAAGGTTCAGATAAATCAAAATTCTGGCAACACATGATTCTCCTGCAACTCTCAGACATCTTGTCAGTCTGCGGTGCAATAAGTATAAGAACGTCAACCAGACCACGCACCCTTGTGGAACATCTAACACTCAGCTGCTGGGATCCAGGGAGACAACAATCATTGATTGAACTTACACCAAAACAGATCACTGACGTAGTAAACTAGCAACAAATATAACTTCAAAAGAAACTTACAATTGCCTGCATTGCTTCAACCTTATATATGATGATATATGAATCTGCGGTGAACCTACTTGGATACCCTCTACTTGGATGTGAGTTTCTTTCTCCACTGCTCTGCAGATGCCTTTGTCTATCACTTGCCTGTTGCCCATGTAAATTGATAATAGGCTAATGGCGAGACCTGCCACAGCTCCTGAGGCAGTTCCGAGTGGAATTGACTTGGTGGCTTGGCTGACAATATATGCCGCTGCTACTGTTGTCCCTGCAGTCATGGCTGCTGCTGCGAGACCACGTTCATTTATCCGAATACTTACTCCCCCAAGGCCCAGTGGGTCTTTTTCAGTGTTTATAGCTTCCTGCACTGAGCCCTCACATCTGGCTGCTTGGCCTACTGCCCCTGGAGCTGTTACTTGCAATGGAGCTGCAGCTTCAGGCTGTGTCTGCTGCCCAGCTTGTGTTACATCCGGCCGATGATGATGACTTTGTGGTAAACGTAGCTAAGCAGATGGAAAATACAAATAACAAGAGTTAATCATCGATTTTGTAAATAAGAGCCTCATTTGCATGGATTATATCAGTTGGTCATATTCAATCTACACCCAATGACAGCCTTATTTTAACAAAAAGGCTATTATAGCACTTCTTCATAAATTATGCAAATGAGGTCATGATTTGAATAAATTATGTTTATTGATGTTCAGCTTCACTTAACTTCCAAATGTGGCAAGTATGAAATTCCCAAGTTACAACTATGAAATTATAGAGATTTGCCATTAATTATGCAAATTAGGTCCTCATTTACATAATCTATATCCTCAGAGGTTTTATCTCATTCTCAACTAGATGTCACAAGTGTTTCATAGTTCTATTATCGAACAAAGCAGATTTATAGAATTTCCTCATTAATCATGCAAATTAGGTCCTGATTTGCATAATTGTCATCTGATTATTTCTAGCATCACTTCAACTACCTACATACTAAAGTTCATGACAATCCGTCAACCGGTTCTTGAGTTATCATCCTTCGAAATGTTTTCAACAAATGCTCCTGCAGTTCCAGAACAAGTCGCTAGGAGATCCAAACTCATGTCACTTCTTCCCTAGCCCAAGAGCTATCTACCAACCAAAATTCGTGACCCTAGCATGTCCAGATCACGAGATATCAAAACCGGAAGTTCTGCTGCAGTACCTAGGAAAGCCGCCAGGGGGCCCAAAATCTAATCATTTCTAGGTCTCATGAAGACCTACCTACCTACCAATTTTCATTCCAAAATTTCCATTCACTGCTTCTTGAGTTATCTTGCTAAACCACAAACACACACACACACACACACACACACACACACAGACAAACGCTACTGAAAACATAACCTTCTTGGCGAAGGTAATAATGTTAAAGAACACAAACAGACTCAGCAAAAAGGTATAGGCTATTTTTATAGGGTCGGTCAGGAAACACAACATTTTTTCTAGGCCTCATCAAAGTCTGAAAAGTTCAATGTCATGTAACTATGTTCAAACCAAAATTACTACTAGATTTTTGCAAACGATGCCTGTCATAAACCCTGCAACATGACAAACTATCAATTTACCGGTACATATATATTTCACTAATATGAAATTGTTGCCAGATATCTTTTAGAAAAAGTTCTATCGGTTGTAGCTTAGACCTGGTTTACAAGAGCAAACAATCTGTACAAAATAATCCGAAGAAACATTAACAAGTAGAAATTGATACAGAAATTTCAAGACAGATACAAAAAGTTGCATATGTCCCATGACCTACTGTGACACGGAAATGAGCTGTGCGTGACGCAGGTCTGTTTAAATGATGTTTTTCCTTGCAGCAGACTCCCCGCTGCGGTGGGAGCGGGCCTGTTTACACGCTTGAAAAGTGTCATACAGCTCCCGTCGAACGACGCCCGACTGTTGACTCGCCGACACATAAAAATGACGCACGTGTGAACCGGGCCTTAGCTGTTTCAAACTTTAGGCCACACTGACTTAATTTTATCTCATGACATCCTCTGAAGACCCCCAAAATATTGCGCGTAGGTGAATAATAAGAATTCCGTCCGAAGATAAAAAATGCTACTAAACCACAGGAATACAAAGCTGGTATAATTGTGAATTGGCGACAACTTACTTACATAGTGACGTATATGATAAGACGGCACATGCTGGCTTTTTGCGGAATTAATAAATCGGCACTGTACGTATGTATTGATCATGAGTTGTTGAGTGGTGGAACTTCGGCAGCCTGGGTGCCATCCTCCAGAGTTACCACCGGCTCCGTATTGTTGCTAACTACCGTGGACTACCCCGGTCTAAAACCAGGCCAGAGCCTTGGAGATGTGACCTTTTCTATTTTGAGAACAGATGAAAGTCAATGCGCGCGGTTGTCATCCATAAAATTAAGTCGGCCTTACGTGACATAAAAGTTTTAAAAGCTTTAAAAGCCCCCACTCCACCCAATACCACCACACTTGGTCGCACTGTACTGGGGGAACACTAACCTCCCAGTCTGAATAGGGTTGAATAGAAAGCACTAAGGAGCCACAAAATATTCAGTTGATACCTTGAATGGCTTCTCCTTCTCCTTCCTCTCCGCTTCATCCATTATTGCCTTTGTGATGTCACCAGCAGCTGAGCTATGACCTGTGATTAATTGGTAATTCCCTGTGAAAAAAGTGTGAAAAACTTGTACCCTACTTTGCAGGTGTTCCAGGTTCCCCCTTTCTTTTTGGGGGGGGGGGCACATGCTGATTTTTTCCCAGTGCTGTCAGCATTTTAACATACCTTCCTCACTGTGTTAGTACACCACCTTAGCTGGTTTAGGAAAAAAAGGGAAGCTTTACTAAGGCCACACCAATTTAATTTCTTGGTTAACGGATTTTTCTAGAAAAATTAAATGGAGCAGGCGGGAGAAAAAAAAATTAAAACAGGCCTAGGCATCCTATTATGGCCCAAAATGGTAATATACTGAGCCATGAAGTCAACACACCAGGCTGGTTCAAAATTTAAACAATGAATTTTGAACTTATGATGATACCAAAATGCATTGAGAAATGGAATAACTGTAACAACTAGGAAAAAAGGACTGTTTTCAACTGTTCAGGGCAAAATATGAGCATTTTGCAGTTGATTCTGAATTTTTATTTTTAGTTGCAAATCAGAAAAAAATGAAGCGGGCGAATCCGTTAACCAAGAAATTAAATTGGTGTGGCCTAAGTGCAATTAGAGTTCAACGATCTCATACCTTCGCCAAATGATATTAGCCTTTATGACTTTGAAATTACATATTAATCCCTGTGATTATACAAACAGGATCCTAAATTGCATGAATTGTATCTGTTGATCATATTCTACACCAAAAGACAGTCTTATCTTATCAACGAACGCCATTCGGTATCAAGGTACTAGTAGCGCTAGTCAGGTGGGGAGGGGAGTAACGTTACTAGGTAATTTGAATACCGACGAAATCCTGGCATATATAGTGGGGGCTTTAAAAAAACTAACACATAATCTGGTTTAAGTTGTCCTTAGGATTATGATTTGCAAAAAAAAGTCAGTGAAAATCGTGAATTATCTCCTCACCTGAGCAAAATTTGAAAGAAACTCAGTCACACTTTCTCCAACTTTTCCGTATCGCAGTCCAAGTTTCACTTTTCCATGTAAATCTCGTACGCAGGGCACTTACTGACAAAAGTCATATACAACATAGTGCCCTGGGTACGAGTATGAAGCCTATGAACACCAAACCCGTCCGCCGTTGGGAAAATAGAGCGAGGCAACTAATATCGAAGTAAATGTTTTCTAAATTGATGACCCAGTTGATAACAACAATCACACAATATGAAAAAAAGTCCTAATCATAATATGACTCAATAAGTGCACGAAATATTCTATATTAATTTGAATTTTCCCACAAATTAGCATGGGATCAAACTCCATGATTTCACTTTGCGATATCCTTGCGCGGTGATGAAATCAATGGACTGTAAATAGTCCATGGGCCAGACCCCCCACATATCGGTACCACCTGAGGGGCCAAATTCTCATCATGGTTTTTGAAAAGAAGGGTGTCTGTGGAATATTTTTTGATATGATAGCCGTTGCACATCGGTAGCTTTGACCTTGCTATCTGACCTTGAACTTTGACCTCGTATGTACCACGTCTTTTTGCACTTATAGTGCAAAGGGGAGTGGTAAATAATCAAATATGGATATTTTTCAATGTAACTTCATGGACTGATAAAACATGAACCAAGGATTACAAAAATGTTAATTTTGTTTCGATATGTCAATTCTACAAGAAGTTATGAGCTTTCGAAATTCGATTTTTTGGTAAAAATTGGTAAAACAATAGAATGTTTACTTTTCAAAACCTGTCATATATCCGGATTACATATTTGAGCCTGCTGCATGCATTCATCTGACTTTTTGTATCATTCCCTACATTTTAAGCTTTAAATCATAAAAATCCATCAATCCTATCCGGAGATATGAGTATCTAAAAGTTCTACTAAAAAAAAAATTATTCCAAAAGGCCTTGTGAGGGGAACCGTTGCTAGGGCCGTTGCTAAGGAGGCACTTGGCTGCTTTCCCAGCAAAATGGAGTGCACACCATATGCAAAACTTGAAGAAAACTTCTATTGGAGGAAAATTATTAATTTAAAGGGCCTTGGAAATCTATATTAGATTATACTAGCAACGCAGGAGATAATACTTTAGAATGGTTTCGTAAATGGCAATAGAGGGCGACTTGTGGGAAAATGTCTATTTCCTGACCATTTTGAGTGAAGTTTTGAGTTCCATGGTTGGAACCGGCCATTCTTTAGATAGAACATGGAACGAGTCATTTGAAAGTGATGTATGCCAAATACATGACTGCTATTCTGTAGACACACGTTCAAGGTACCCTTATACCGAATGTCATATCATTTGGTTGTAATGTAACCAGGGCTCAGGATCCAAAAATCCATTTTTTTGCCGAAAAATGCCCAAAAAAACCTTCATAAAAATTTTTCAAAGGCATGTTTAAAAAAATGAAAAAAAACAAACGTCTGGGGGTATTTGCCCACTCTACCTCCATGCCAAATTTCAAGTCATTTGGCTGAATGATGGCGGAGTTGAATCCCTCTGAAGGAGTGGCAGGAGGAGGAGAAGGAGGAGGAGGAGAAACATGAGGGAACACAATATATTTCATCCACACCATGGTATGGACTGAAATATGATAACCAATAACATAAATAAATAATGATAATAACAAAAAGTACAAATTGTCCAGTCCAGATTGTTTGTATGGATGGGTCAGAGGTCAGGCCAATTTTTATATCTCATTTTAAAAGTGGACATGGACGGGCAGGTCTTTATATCATGTGGCAACCTGTTCCAGAGGTTAGGGCCTCTATAGGAGAACTTTCGCTTGCCACATTCAAGGCGCACTAACGGCAGTTTCAAGGATAGGTAACTTCTGACTGTGTCTGGTGGGATATCTGTGAGATTCAGAAGCCATCTGAAAGCTATTTATATATTCTGGGAGTTCATTGTTAACTGCCTTGTACATTGATTGTAGCAGGTGCAAGTTTCTCCGTGATGATAAAATTTTCCAACCTAGGGTAGATCATAAGCTCATCATTGTCAACATGATGTGTATATGGTAAATGAAGAATAAGTCTCACTGCCCGGTTCTGGAGTTTTTGTAATTTGTCAGACAGGCACTTTCTAAAGTTTCCCCATATCACATCGCAGTACTCTATTTTAGGTAAGACAATACAGTTAAACAACATTATAAGAGTGTGTTGAGGTAGACATGGGATGAGAGGTCGTAGGACTCCCAGTCTAGACGAAACAGCATTACAACTTGTTAATGTGAACTTGCCATGCTATTTAAAGCTGGAGTCAAGCCAAACGCCAAGGTACTTATAACTAGAGACAACTTCCAAAATGGTGCCAGAAAGGGGTAACTGACAACTGTTCTGTAACTGACCGCAGCCTATGTGTAGTCCCAAAGAGCATAGCTTTGCATTTGTTAAGATTGAGAGTCAGTTCATTTGCTTTTAACCATGTCTCAATATTACGAAGATCAGCATTGAGAGCATTGTTTACATCCATGACTGTCTTGGATGCATATAGAAGAGTGCAGCTTATTAACGACATCGCACTTTGCTGTATTTTGACCATAAGGCCACACCAAGTAAATTTTATGGATGACGTCCTTTGGAGACTCCAAATCTAATGCGAGAGGGCGAAAAAAAAACAAGAAGGGCCCAAAAAAACAAGATGCCTAGATTAGAAATATACTAAGAGACGACACATGTTAGGACACAAATTGAATGAGGTGACACAGTGTAAACAAGCAAGAAGTCTTTTATTCATCATCAAAACAGTAATGAATCAGGTGGAACAGCAGTTGTCCCGTTCTGTTTCTTTCATCACATTTGCAGACCTGCAGAAACAAAGCATAAAAGGCAAAATTAGTTGCTGATTAACCCTTTGCATGCATTACTACATTTCTACCTATGCAAATAGTCTATAGGAGCGTTTGAGAAAGAATATCAATAAAGGTGGAACCAAACAGAATATGTTTAGAGCTATTCTACATAAGTTGCGTAATGTATTTTAAGTAGGTAACAAATGTATGCCTACCTGACAAACAGGGTTTATTGTCTGGTATGCAGCAGTCTTCTCTGCTGGTATGGGCAGCGTTTCCTCCTCGCCGCAGTTCCAGCACACCAAAGGCAGCATCGTCTTCATCACCCCTGACTTCAGTCTGGCTGAATAGTAGTACTGTGCTACTGGTGAAGTGCATGTCACTGCCCTACATGAAACAGGTGGAAAATTATGGAACAATAGTCAATTGTGGTAAAATCCAACTCTTCAGAAAAAACTTCTTTTTTTTCAACATTGAGGTTTAGGTTCTATGTTGTAGTTAAATGTACGTCTTTACTGTCCCCAAAGTGCCTTAAATTTAAAGGGTATATTCTGCAACAATCCATATCAAATGTACCTCACTACTCACCTGTGTTGTTATTGCTACATTGTTGTGTGCTCCCAGTCCCAGCGTAGGCTGGAAACATCCACTCCTGCTGACCTTGTTCTCTTGATGCTTTCATCATACCTGTATACATGTGTACATGTGAAAGGAAAAGTAAACCTTATGTTCCTAGTTCACAATAAATGTGTCTTAATGCAATCAAAGAAATTGAAGAGCAGACAACGTTACTAAATTGGATATCAAAGCTAAAATGATGACTAAACCCCCCCCAAAACCCCAAAAA